ATTGACATTTCCGACATTTCATTGGCGTGTTATTTCCGTAGAACATAAAGGTGTTTACGGTGTTAATTTGTGGTGAACGTAGTAATACAGAAACTGTAATTTCATTCTATGCGTAAGTTACAAAATATGTGCTTCCTAACTTTATATAAAGTGACCCATTTTTCCGACGCCTATGGTTATCAGCTGTTTACATTCAGATGCTACTGCGCATATCTCTGTCTTTGTTAGGTATGTTGGTACAGATGCTCTTTATTGAAAGTAAATGGGAGGCCATATCTATGTATATATGAGGATTGGAGTTGAACGCCAATTTCAAAGGCCTCGAGGATCTTTCGCGAAACAATACATTGCCGTTTCCTTATAGTGCGCTCTACCTGGGACACACTGTATGTACTCTACTTCTTAATAAATATCACTGATATGTATAGATCCCCAAATCCTTAAGAAAGCATTTGTCAAATTGTGGAACAAAGAGAGCTAATGAAACATGTTGTTTATGGCATGTTATAATTTAAAAAATCAGGAAGTTTTGCGCTAACATCATTTTGAACAGGATAATAAAATCAACAGGTTGGTTAAATCTAAGAAATTAGTTATAAGTTTGTTCCGTTCTTTTCGCTTGTAATTCAAATGTAGTATTCTTTATCCTTGTTTATATTTAAATTCGACGTTTTACTCGATATTCTTACGCCATCTAGGTATTTCGTTTGTGTTCCACTAATTTTTAGATGTAAGTTAATTCCTGTAGTAAATTTGTTAAAATCTTAGTATAGGTAGGATTCTTTTGCAATGTTCTTTGTTTCGCCGACGGAGGTCGGGCAGAGTTTTCTTTAATTTCTTTCAGCGCACGCATTTCTTTGTACAAAGACGAGATTGGATGGTTACTTGTAGAAGAACACACACGCCATTATGGCTACTCGGAAACTTTTGTCAGCCTTGAGCGATTTTTATTGGTGCTGTATCAGTTTAGTGAAGCTTTTTTTTGTTATTTTGTTTTCGACACTTCGCTGACGCGTTTGCGGATATATTTTAAAAGTTCCAAAGCCGTTTGTTATACGCATTTGCCTTTTGACTTACTTCTGGTTTACTCTTTTCTTCATTATTACCTACCAGATTGTGCTTTCTACATCGCCACAACAAGATGCCAACAAAAAAAGGAAAGATGACAGCAATCACCATGAGCGCCGAGCAGCTCAATGAGCTTATCTAGGGAATAAGGAATGATCCCTCATCAATTCCGGGGGAAAATTGAAACTTCGCCCGTTGTATGGCTCAGTTCAGCAATACAGAAACTGACTTCACTTTGGGTGATGGGAAGAGAATACACCAGCCCGTTAAGGTATCTTTAGTGCCCATAGTGCGTGAGGAGTTAGGTACGGGTAGCAATGGCATTTTTCCCAATTGTACCAAAGGCTCTGATGGGGGTAGATGTGTTTGAAGACGCCGGAATCGGCATTGACGTGCGCAAAAGGTGTTGGTACACGCTTTTGACCGGCCGGTACAAGGATTTCTTTTATAGAAAAAGAAGCGGTCTCTGCAAGAACACATCAGATTCGTAGAGATCGTCCTCAAAGCTCTCCAGGGATTTGGACTTGAACGCGCCAATCGAAGCAAACGCCACTTCTGCTGCAAAGAAGTTAAGTATCTGGGTCATGTTATCTCGGAGAAAGGAATACGCTCGAACCCAGAAAAGGTTTATTTTAATTAAGAGAGAGCGAGAGAGAGAGAGAGAAACAGAGTGAGAGAGAAAGAACTCTTAAAAAATGAAATATTCGTTTCAAAACAAAGCGTTCAGGCAACATAAAAAAGGTTCCTCTAAGTTAATACGTTAATGTTAAAGCGTCTGTAAACAGCTGAACACTAACAAGAAATAGAACCTATTTTTTTACAGTGTAATGAGGAATGTGATTTCGAAAAACAAGTTAACAATGCAAAATCAAATGACCTTGCAAGTACCTATAACCTTGTAATTTAATCACATTTCGAGATGAATGGCTATTTTGATTAGGAGTTTAAATACAATCACTCAAAAAATTAGTTGATCAGACGGTCAGCGTCAATACCATGTAAAGATGTTATTTGCGAACACTCAGCCGCTTCAGGCATACGACGAATTAGATTACGTATCTTTATTCTAAATGCATTCACATTTAAAGTACTACGATCGATTCCGCAAATTTTTATTCCCAAATTTCGGGTCTCGAAAATTAAGCTTTCGTTACAAGCTTCCACTATTGTTCGTATTTACTGTAATAGCTTCTAAATCGGTAATTATATCTTGGTCAATGGATGTCACTAAACAGTTCAAATCGGGCATCAAAACTGCACTATTGTTCGGAGTTTGCGTAATCCGTCATCCGTCATAAAACAACCTCTAGAGTAATATACTGTCATACCAAAATATAAAAACACCCTGCGATACATTCTAAGTGATCGACTGCACTTGTGGCTCGACGCGAAAACACAAAATCAATCCACCCTGCGACGAATTATAGGTGTTTGACTTAGCTTGCGCCGACGGCTTAAAGCAAACCCCCTGGCGGTTCTCGAGGCGAATTCTCTCACGCTTCACTGCGGATTTTTCACAAAATATAAAACCACGTGACGCTAACTTAGCTTTAGCTGTCTTCGACATACCAACTTCTCACTTTACGTTTTTTATTCACCTTTATCCCGTGACTTACACCTTTTCCACCAATCAAAACTAATTTTTCGATCCAGCGGTTGGGCTGAGCAAATCTCACACTACGCACCACGGTTGCAAAATAAACATAATCTCTTTGTAATCCGAACTTCTCGCGTTATGTCCCCCGACTTACTGGCACCTCAAGTTTTCACACGCTTTTAAAAAGTCATTACCGTATTCAAGAAACACTCGTTCACGAAAAAAAAAAGAAAATTGCAAAGTTCAATGCTTCCAGCTCATTTGATAGCAAAAGCCCTTTTTTCGTTAGGGCAGCAAACACGTACAAGACGATTGTGTATAAACGAATATTTAAAAATTTGATGAAGCGGTAGGACAATTATTATCTCTTGTACTAATGAGACCAGGAGTACATTTGAATGTAACCAGCAGTTATTAAATTCGGTTTGACACTCGCCGTTCACCTGAGAAATAAGTGTCTGCTTTAGTACAAAACAGTAATTTAATGAGGTAAGTAAATAGAAAAATCTCTTTGGACATAGAGTAAATATATGCTTTGGTTTACCGACGCGACGTCCGAAAGCTCATTTCCGATTCATATGTTGAAAAGGTGTACATATTACATAACTAATAACGAAGTACGAATTACACAATCTAATAGCAGCAGAGGTATGCGAGTTTCCAAAGTGGAATGGTAAAAATACAGTGTAGGCACAGTCTTTGATTTCAATTAAAAATTTTAATTTAGCGCAGCGCGACGCGCGTCACTAACACACTGCTCGCTGATTAATAGCAAAAGGTAGAGACATTTTCTCCTCCAGGCAGAAGTTTAGAGTTTGGTTGGTTATCTACTCGTTATGCGGCTAACCTTTGAACTAGAAGGACATTTAACTTCTTTATCTACACTGTACCAGATACCCAAAGGTTTTTGTGAGTTAATATCATAAATTAGTTCGCTAATTTAAGTTCAAATTTCCGCTTCATAAGCTCGCCCACTACCCATTTAGGTAGGTACTTGGCGTGCAGTGCATTAAATTTTATGCGCTACGCGTATACATTCCAAATTTAAATTGCAGCCAGTTTTCATAAAGCAAGAAAATGAAGGGAATGAAAGAACTATTGTCTAGATGTACTTTAAATAACCCTCGTGCCCTAAAGTAAAAGACGAATGACATAAGGGTCCCCCGAAGCCGCTGAAAAGATAGAGATAGAGCAGGAATTCGAGATACTCGGCGTACTTCAGCGAGAGAGACAATCTGAATGGCAATTCTTTAAATGACGCGCTCCCTCCTGAGGGTTGTCAGATTATTGCCACTTTTATAGAAGACTTTTTTCCTTTCTTCTTTTACACTACTAAACGGAGTTGGTATGTAAAGTGTATAAAATTGGTTACAATTACTCGGAAATTTCTTAAATGAGCCGTAAGATGAGTCTGAAATTGTACGCCGGAATTTTTCTCTACCTTTTCCACATTTACAGTACGTAGCTTCGAGTTATCTACTCTGTTACTACGAATATCCATACTTAAACCTCGCCAAAGTAAAACTGTACTTATCTTAATTTTCTTTCAAACATTCTGTAACCTAAATTTGATTACGTAATTTAAATTAACAACAAATTTATAACAGTCTTGAAATTGTTTAATTTATAACAGTAAAAATATTATCTCCATATACTCAATTTATAACAGTGACAACTAACTTCGGTTTTGCAACTGGAATTCAATTAATTAACGTTAATTGAAAAAAATTTACCTTGTAGTGAATTATTCCGATAGTGGGTTCACAATGAACCAAAGCCGCTGGTACTTCAAACAAATCTATAGACTATTAATTTTCCATTCCAGGTTCGTTATATAGGTACAGGCTGTAGGATGACCAACGGGAAATTTACCGTTTTTGCATATGCGGCATCTTTAAATAGTTGTAACTGATCGTTTTGATTAGGAGAACATAGGTAGTCCTACATTTATAATGGACTTTAATTAATAGGAATTGGAATTCATCATATTAGGCTCCTAATACACCCAAAAATTGCCTAATGCTTTGATATATCAACGTTTTACTGACTATAATTTAATCAATTAGCACCCTTTGTGCGTATCTGTGCTCCTGATACATGCCAATATGTTAAATAATTTGGAAACTCGCTCGGTGATCGTAATGTAGCAAATTATAAAAATAAAATTTGCTTATATCAGGAGAGCATATTAAGTGAGAAGGTGTTTGTCAACTAATTATACGTCTCGGTGTTACTGTGATCCCACTCAATTTTCTTTGGAGCTCCAAAAAATTTTAACTATAATTTAGTAGGCCATTTGAGCTACTTCTACCACTTGTGTCTACTAATTGTGACAGCTGACTTTGGCAATCTCGCCTTAGACAAATGTGTAGGCTCTGTAATGACGAACTCAATAGATAAATACGATATTCACAAAGCAGTTTTTCAAAATGATTTAGACGCCCTATCGAGACTGCTAGAAACACACGATGTCGCGGAGAAAGACAGACACGGTAATTAAGGCTGCTTTCACATTGGCGATTTTTAGCCGCGCTGTTCATAAGCGGGTGCGTACGACTAGTGAGGCGATTCTGTTAATGTTATCATACTCATTACGCTGCTGATCATTAGAGTCGGAATTCATTTTACGATTGACATTTGGCTTTCCCGGCCTTGTCGCGTATTTCGCGTCGCCAATGTGAAAGCAGTCTCTGTCTCTATCTTTGCTCATCTTTCAACAGGAAATACAGCCCTCCACTTGGCCGTAATGCTAGGGAGAGAAGGTAGAAGTGTTGGGACAATTTCAAAGGGCCGTGTTTAATTGAGCTTATTTGCAGAATGCGTTCAGATGCTTTTAAATCACAACGCTCCGGTTGAGGTTGAAAACGGACTGGGCTGGACGGTTTTGGAGGAAGCTGTCAGTTATGGAAATCGCCCGACAAGTACGTCGTCGGTTTACGATGCGGCCGATTAAATTCTCTCTGTTTCAGTCGCGTCTCTTCTCAGAAAATGTTGGCAGCAGTCACGTGAGGAAATGGAAAGTACGAGGCCGAACCTAATGAAGGCCTTTAACCAAATCGGCGACTTTTACATGGAGCTTAGGTGGGACCTTCAGTCGTGGGGTTCGTGAACAAATACCCGCATTTAATCTATTAATTGTCGCTATTTCAGTTCCGCTAGTTTCACACATTCTACCTTCCGATATATGCAAGGTATACAAATGCGGGGCGAACATACGAGTGGACATGGCCCTAGTCTATTTTTCCGATATGGTGCGCGGCGATATTTCTTTCATTTTTAACGGGAACGCTTCACCTAATCAGAGCCTAACTGTTCTCGACAACACTTTAAAGGTGTATCAGACTATGAAATACGAGGAAAGCAAAATCGAAATTGAGGACGAAGTGGATGCGATTATGTCAACCGAAATATCTGCAATGGACATTTCGACAAAAAACATTCATTTTATACGTGCCCGGTCAGGCTGGATCTTTCAGGAGGATAAAAAGGTAGACGAGGGGGGCCCTTTAATCGTCAAAACTTTGACCCTAGTGCAATCTCAAAATTTAAACCGAAAAGGTGCCAATTTCTGACCTTTCACTTATTATGTTCTCCTGATACTTCTCTACAAAAAAGGTAGAACCTCCTGTTGACCATTTCATTTATGTTTCCCTAAATATTCTATAGAAAAGGTATCAGGATAGCAGAAACGAGACCTTGCCACGTAATTATGTTCTCCTGATACAAGTTTCGTCACAGAAATTGATTGTACCAGGATATCAGAAACGCGAAATGGTTTTCTTAAACCGCGTCACGTTTTATGTGCTCCCGATATTCAACCGAACAAAGACACGTCACTCTTAAGACCTTGTCACGTAATTTTATATTCTCCTGATACCAACATCTTTAGAAAAAGGAATAATTGATACCAACAGAAACTTTTCCTAAGACATTTATTATGTTTTTATGTACTCCTGATACCAAGTTCTTTACCGAATTGTGAGAAACGTGAGCTTTTCTTAGGCTTTGTAATATATTATGTTCTCCTAATATAGCAGAATTTTCCTTAGTTTGCGCGCACGTCATCATTTCTGTTTTTGGAAATATTTGTAATGCCAACGTATTAACAAAATAAAAACAATCATTTTAAACCTCGTTCTTGAGGCAGAGTTGTGCGTTATTTGAAAAATAAAACCAAAAGAGGTTTTTTTCACGTTACATTTCCGTTACATTGGGTAGGTTCAGCCAAATTTGCTACCGAATTTATTGTTTTATCGCGTTTTGCTACATTAGCCGATAAGAAATCCGTTAGTTCCATAACGAACAATTATAGAAGCATAACTTCCGTAAGTCTCACTGCGATATTCTGCGCCAAAAGTTGTATAACCCAAAAAATACCATCGGATTTACCAAGAAAAAGTAAGCAACTTATTTTTAATCTTATGATTATTATGGACAATGCTAGTTATCACAGTAGTTTACAACACAACGGCAAACAAAAAGTTGAGTTTCCAAATGATGCGTTAAGAGTGGAATTGCTGGAGATTGTTGCAATGTTTGTTTACTTAACTTCCATCCAGCATGGTTTAGTTTCTAGACTAAAGGTATGTTATTTCAAAAACAAACCTTCAAAACGGTATGCTGGCATTAGAAAATGGTCATGCGGTACTACGGTTGCCTCCTACCATTGCGTTTTTAATCCCATCGAAAATATATACGAAATTTGCAAATAACATTTTAACCGATACATTGGCGAGAAAGGTTATGGCAGAGGTATGTGGCAACAGGTCATTGATACAGTTGCATCTGATATATGACAACGCACTAGAGATGTATTTTTGTCACTGATGATTCAGATTAATGTTTTATGGTTTATGCAAATATCAACTTCAAGATGTGAAGTCAACAAAATGACTGTTAAACGGCGCCTGCGGTTTTTTAAAATTTATGAGAAACCCGAAAAGAACGCGTCCTGTGTAAAAAGGCCGTGGTTCGATTTTTGCCGAAGACGAAAACTGGAAGATCGGCGAAGAAGCTAGACGTTTATCGCCCTTGCGACGTTCAACAACCAGCTGGAACGATGCACGTTGATATTTTTAAAAAAATATAACGTTCCTATAATCTTGAAATTCGTGGCATGATTTTTATTGTTAGGCAATTTGAAATGTTTTGTGGATTTTCTTTTGCTTTTGTTGTCTTTGTTAATTTAGTTTGTGCATTTGTGTGGAATATGCCAGGGTTTTTGTACCCAAGAAGGTTTCCTTGATATCACCTGGTTGTGTGCGTAATATATTTTATATGCTTTCATCTTTTCTTACGCACAAAATTATTATTTTAACACCGACTGCTACCCAGATTGGAAAGTGCTGCGAAACGTCCGTTAGTAAAATATGGTGACATAGACAACCTGTTATAAAACCGAAACATTTTTTTAGTAATTGGTGAATTGTTGATGTAATGGGTATCCTGCTCACAATGCAGCACTGCCTGTATGACTGCGTACATACGTATGATGCCATATAAACATACTTAGTTATGACGTCATAATACACCGATGACGTGCGCGCAAACAAAGCAAATGCCTACTATACCATCGGTGCTGCAATAAATAATTAGATTTCTGACACCTACCACCAAAATGCTTCTTTCAGGAACTGGTAGCGGGCCAATACCAAAGCGAACTATACTCCGTACACGGCTTGGTTTTAGAAAGTCGAATACGAAAGGAGCACTTATCGCATGACGCCCTACGGAAAAACAAAGCACTATTTGAAAGCTTCAGGAAACTTTTTGATAACCAAAATATCGACGACGCAGTTGTAACTTACCTCTCGCGTTGCTTTTAGTTCTAATTTTTTGGTAATTTAGCCTGCACGGCGGGCGAGCCTGAGCCCGCCACCCGACAAGAACATAACGTGGGAGGACTACCTGACCGCCGACGTCAACAACTACCCGCAACTGGGACGCGAGCGGGTCTGCAAGGAATCTAAGATACCGTTCAAGGCGACCATCGCAATGGTGAGTCGGGCGGCACGATCTTTAACGAGTGCCAATTGCAGAGTCGCGACTTTCCGCTATCGGTCGAGACGCTGCTCGACGTGCTGGAGGGGATCATGCCCATAGAGGACTTTTCGAAGTTGCGCGACTTTATCACCTCCAAATTGCCGAGCGGTTTCCCCGTGAAATTGGAAATACCGGTGTTGCCGACGGTTACCGCCATAGTTACGTGTCAGCGGTTCGAGTTCCGAAACAACATGGCGAGCGAGTTGTTCACGACGCCCAAGGAGTACACCGAAGATCCGACAATGTAAGATCCAACGTAAGGCCGGTCGATTTATACATTGCAAATGCGTAGGTTTCGCCTTAGGTATATCACGTAAGTTGTACAATTTGCGATAGTGTGTGTCAAACTGTTTTTCGTGTTTGGGCCCAGACCCCCCCCCCACCCCCTCCTTCAAAACGTTCATCCTTAAAAAAGGAAAAAGGGAAAAAAGGAAAAAGGGAAAAAAGCAACCAACGTGTTTCATTCCTCCGGCACCCGTGACTACAGGGATACCGGAGGCGGGCTGCTCAGGGCTTCCTGGCCCTCTTCAGCCAGAGAACGGGATTGTAAGGATGGGTAAAGTTAGGGATGGGAACGGAAGGAACGGAATTAGGGTGCTGAGGGGGAGAGTACTGCTCCAGCATTCGCCTCGTAGATTTCAACGCGAAGCTACGTACGTCTGAGGAAAACCCCCTGACAAAACCCCAGACAGAGCAGTCGGCCGCGGGATTCGAACCCACGACCTCCCGAATAGCATCGGTGAGCGCAAGCACTGCGCCACGCGCCTCGGTGTTCATCCTTAAGGACACCCGCGATATTTTAGCGTCGAGGCGATCGCTCGCTCGATGGCTTCATGTCCATCGATTTCAAAGGGAACGGATGGACCGATTACGATGACGTATAACTCATGCATGTTCTAGTGTTAGCATAATATTCAAGTCTTGATACAAGAATAAGTTCCGCCAGGGTGAGGGCCACAGCTAAAAACTCGACGTTAACCAAGCGACCCTGATGTGACCTTCGGTTCACAACATGTGGCAATAAAATGGTCTGTAATGAGGGAGTTCAGCTTCCAGGTTTTTTTTAAGACCATCCAATCTTCCTTTCGATGGTCATTTTCTAAGTGCTAAAAGCGGTACATATTTTGGGGGAAGAATGTAGAACCAAGGGGTCTGGAGTTCTCGGGAAAACGATAGATTCAACGTTCCTTTTCTTACAATTATCTATCATAAGATCATATTTTTATGCGTTGGAGGGCGAGAACGTCAGAATGAGGAACCGGGAGTAAGCATTCAATATTTGACGCATTTTCTTAAAGATTCAATACTCTAATTATAATTGCAAAACTTCATAAATTCCCCTTAATAACGTATTGAGAGTCTGTTATCCATTGCATATTTACGTTATAAGTAAGGCAAATAGTGTCGCTAGTATAGGGCTTTGGGCAAATAAACAAAAAAAAAGACTTGTATAATTCGACCGGCCCAAACAAAACGACATGTGTACGATTCGTTCATTTCAGATTTCCATGAACTGTTAAATACCTTTGAAATAAATTAACACGAGCCTACCTCAGTTTATCACTGCGTCCGATAAGCTCTCGAGGCGGAGGGCTACATTCGTACATCATTTACATAAAAGTTCCATGGCTGTCCACGATGGTATTAATCCTTCTTTTTTAGTTGAGATCCCGATGTTTATCACTTTCGGTAGTATTTACTTCACGAGTTGTATCATTAACGTGGAATGCGTCGTGCGAATCCAGGCGTCTGGGAGCACCCTTGCAAATTAGCTTAAAATCTGTATATAATAGGTATGATGCCTTTTTTTTAATGTCTCTAAAGTTACTGAGCGGCATTCATCTCGAAATGTAACTTTAGTCTAAGGTTACCGTGTCCATTACCTTCAGATACCTTCCGGACTGAAGAACGTGCGGCTAATTAACAATGCATTTCATGTAGGTAGTTTATGTAAGAAACTCGGAATGTTATTTTTCACAAATGGGCCAGAAGTGGAGTTGCGTTTAAATCTATTTTAGCTAGCCATTCTTTGTCTTATCAAATATTGTATTAAATTATCGTCAGATTTAAATTTACGAGTTACTTCCTCGGATTGTTAATTTTTGTATGTTGTAGATGTGATGTAAGATGTGTGTTAGCGTTTTGCCTCTCTTGCTCCAGATGTCTTCCTATACCCACCCTCTGTGAACAGTTATTCGGAATGTTCTTCGGCGCGGTTCTTTTGGCCGATGGAGGACAGGGCATTTCTTTTTTACTTTAAATGCATTATTTGTAGGAAATCTTTCGGCATTCTGTCATTTTACACCTTTGATCAATTATTCAATAAACTTTCTTTTGCTTTTCAAATTCAATAAGTTCCACCTTTCCGAGAGTACCTAACCTACATAAAAACATTTCATTTTGTCAAATTAAATGATATATTTTTATGTACGACTGCTTGATAATGCAGTGATTACAGTCGCAATTAGTGGCCATAATTTGCAATATTATGGCCAAGTCCATAATGATAAAGTAAAACGGCCGCCTGTCAATGTGACAGTCATACTTAGGTGTCAATCCAAGGTAAATTCAAGTATTTTAGAAATACTTGACAAATGGTCGACATCTGTTGTCAATGGTATACAGATTTTATCGTTTATTGAATTCCATGAAATTTTCATTTTTAAGGGTTGTTGCAGTCGTACATAAAGCTTTGTATATATCGCGTCCATAAATAGGCTTTATGGGGACTCGCCTTGTTTATTATTTGTGCCTCGCTCGCAAGCTCGCTCGGCTAAATAAACGGCTCGTCCATAAAAACCCAAATTATGTACTTGATATATAAATAGCTATTAATGACCTATAATCTACATCATAAAGACGACAATTTTTAACAATTCCGAAACGTCCAAAAAGTGACGTATACTCGATGTACATTTTTAGTCATTTGACGTCACAATCCAATAATCACCTATCAGACACGTCAATGTGTTTGCGGGGATGACTAGGCTCAAGAGTCTGTTTTAAAGCCTGTTGTAAATATAAGTACCTACTTTCGTAAAACCATATTAGTTACAGCTAATTCACTTACCTAGATACGTCGTAATTTTGCAGATTGTAAACTATCGCATCGACATCGACAACCCTGAACTAGCCGCATTCTATCAGAATCTTTATTTAATTAATTTATTTTTGTTTCAAATAGTTTTATTTAAACGGTTTATTTTCTTTGTGCGTTTTATTTCTTGAGCAGATAGACCTTGGAAAAAGGGAACCGGGAAGGTAGGCAACCCAAAATAACCGGATTTTTGTGTACCCTTATAGCAAGAACTCCGGGCTTTGTAGCACCTCTCTTTATCACATGCTCTCCCTTTCGCCCATCGCGTGTTCCTACGTTTTGACCGATCTTGACCCCCCCTTCGCGAGAAGACCTTAGCTCCGCGGATTGGCACCCGGGCAGGCTGCTCGTTCACCTCATTCTCGGTCGTCAGTTCACCGTTTCATGAGCATCATTTCCTGTAACATCCTTTCCCCTTCAATAATAGTTGATGGAAAATTCAAATAACCATCCCTTAATGATTTCGAATGTTAATGTGTTGCTTTGAGAGTGATAGTAAATACATAATAGTTAAGGGTAAGGGCGGTGGGAGTGGTACAAGTCAAAGAAGTTTGTCCTAAAATGTTACAAATGTGGCGAGTAAGGCCACTATAAGCGGAACTGTACAAACTTCAAGAAGTCTAAATCATGTCATGTTAAATTACATTTCTTTTTATCATTAATTACAACTGTTTACCATTCAATTCATGCAAGACCTCTTTATTATTTAACCACAGGTCTCATCAGGTTATAGGCCCAGTATTGCCAAATTTATTTCTGTTGGAACTTTGTTGTGAACGATCGTAACGGAAGTGTGTCGTGTGCGTAGTTTCAGTAGGAGACCTTAGTCTGGGTCATTTGTCATGGAAGTTTCGCGAGTTTTGATAGATAAATTGGAGGGACATTCCAATTAGGTTGATACTTGATTGGAATTTCAAAGTCAAAAATTCAGTTGAAGGTAAATGGCTGTATGGACATAGTGGACGGTAAGGCAACGCAATCTACTGAACTGACCACAGATGCAACGCCTAAGGTTAGCGGATCGCCTTCAAGAAACTAAAATTTATAGTTCAGAATATTATTGTCTTGAGTTTGTCAACTCAGGTAAGACAATTGATAAATACGTCTACGGCTAGCAAGGAAATGTGGGACAAATTTCAATCAGTTTATGAGCAGAGATCAGCGCAAAGGCAAGATCGTCTTTTCAATCAGTTTTTTAGTATAAGAAAAAAGGAACCGGCGGATTGCGAAACACACTGCTAAACTCAAGGAGCTATGTGCAGAAATTCAAGACGGGACTTGGAAGGAGGACAAGGTAAAATGCCAAAGTCACTGTTCCTGAATGGGGTTTTAAACAAGATGCCTGATGAATAGCATGCATTTCCCAAATTCCCCATTTGTCCCAAAATGTACAACCATTCAATGGTAAAACTATGGCGAGTTAAGCGATTATAAGTGGGACTGTAAGAATTTCTAGAAATCCAAGTCAGAGAAGAGTCAGAAAGGGTCTGCCTGTGTTAGCCAATTAGATATCGTCAAATCTGTGGCTTCGCCCAATGTTTGGATTGCAGATTCCGATGCCCATGAACCGTAATTTGTTTTCTAATCTTAAAAGGTATTTTTCCCAGAAAGGTACATTCTAGTAGGAATTAAATGGCCATCAATGAAGGCGCTTGGCGAGGGCAATGTCTACATTGAAAAGATTGTCAATGGTAAGGCTAAAAACTGTCGACATCGGCTAAAAGTCACGTTGTTGCTGAACATGGCTTACATGTTTGGTATGAGAGATTAGCTCATCTGAGCAAACGTCATATTCTCACCTGAGAGGTTCCACCCTGTATATACAACTTACGACGATGTATAGTTTCGAGAGTTGGTAACCATGCCATTTTTAGGAGGGGAAAGCGATTTGCGCCATCTGGAGAGCACCAACGTTCGTTACCTTTGGCATCTTGTCTTGAAAGTTTTTTGTTCTGGGGTCTTGAATGGCGGTCGTGAACGCGTCGCTCCATAAATGTTTGCTGTTGTTTGTGTTATTTAATGCCGGTATAGTAATTTTTGCATTTCTTTATATCGTATTTGTGTTTTGTATGCCGCATTTTATATTTGTTGTGTGTTTCAATCTTCGTTTTTGAAATTTACTTGGTTTAACCGCAATGCAGAATGACATGTTTAATTCCGTCACCCTTTTGTTTGTAATTTTTGTTTTTGGTGTAATGCTTGCTTAATTTATGTTTATTGATGTTGATTTGATTACTTGGTCTTGTCCCTAAAGTAACATTCATATAAGTTTTGATCATTTTAATTTAATATGTGGAAATTACCGAGTTGTTTGATGTATGTACTGACTTGTTGTTTGTAACTAACATTTTCTCCGTGAATGAAGCAGTCACGGGGGTGGTAAAAACTGTAGTCAAAATTGAGCTACGACATCTAATTCCGTGATTGTCCTCGACATTCAACTGTAGGTTCGAAACCCCAAACGAGGGGCGACGCTACCTATCTTGCGGGGGCGAGATTATGCTAATCAAAACTCTTCGGTTTAGAATCTGTGATATATGAGTGGCGATTCGATAATTTCCACCTATTTTCACCGATAGTTAAATTTGCCTACAAGGCCATGCAATTTTCCATCTTGCTTTTAACAAAAGGACTTTATTGCACCAAAGATGAGTCACATCCTGTGTATTTCACCCTTTCTTAGAATCTTTGTAACTGCTTACCTGACCCATTATTCCCAAAACTTGTTTTTAACCTATATGTTACCTCTTGAAGTCTACATGCTACTTTTTGTGATGTTATAATTTTATGTTACGCATTCACATCATTACAAACAATTAATTTTACTACACAATTTAATATTAATTTGACGGCTGGTTTTTTTATTGGTAAGTTCTTTTTTTCCCAGCCTATTTCTATTTGTATTCAGTGAACTACCATTTTCAAAGTTTATTTTTGCAATGTAAATTATTTTGACTTAAATTTCCGGGCTTTTACAATCAATAATAATTACGATCATTATTAAACAAACTTTTCACAATTTCAGTGTTTTATTTTACGTTTCTTCCCTACTGTGCTTCAGGTCATAACGTTCTTTGTCAATGGCAACTTGAAATCAGACCTGTGCGATGCATGCATTAATGAAAGAATGCACCATTTGAGCTTCGGAAAACGGAAGGAGTACATAACTACCCCGGGTTACGCTAACACGCGTGCCAAAAGGAAGAGAAGGGAGTGTGATTTTCACATCTTACCTCCTCCTTGTTTTAAAGCGAAATTATGTGTCAATACAAACTGAAATAATTATAAATTTAATCCAACACAAGCTTCTTTGGTACAGTAACAAGTTATATAAATATTAGAAATTCTGTGCAATATCTATATACAAAGTAAAAAATAACTTCATCTTAACTTAATCAAGGCCTAATAATACTTTTCATACAATCTGTTTTTGTTAAATTAAAATACATATCACTGATTGCAATAATTTTGGAAATAATTGCAATTTTTATAAAAGTCGGAGTGCGCGACGGAGAATAACATAAAAACTAAGCGGCGATCAGCTTCCTACGCAGTAAAAATGCCAAATTTTAGTTATAGATAACCCCAATCCACCTAATAGCCCGCAAGATAAAGCAAAATATACAAATAATTTACGAAGAGATTCGATCAGCACAAATCGTTTAAGAAACATATTTACAAACCTAACGATTAAATTAATACTCATCAGTCTACGTTTACAAAAGCTTGTACTTGATTCGCTACGTAATTACCGTACTTCGGTACTCTCATTGGGTATATGACTGTCGGGTTGCGCGTGCGCGGGTAATTGAACGTCTTTACTCTCGACGCTGTTCTCCACTTTACCTTGAATTTGTGCGACCGCATTCGCCTGCGCCTGTATCACGTTCGATCCGCTTTGATTGGACGCGTGGCTGCTAGAACGCGAGTGGTTTCCGCCGACGGGCGTTTGAACGAGCGGAGTGGGGGGACTTTTGGTGCCCGCCGGCGCGGCCCCGCTCGGTATTTGCATGTGGTACTTGTAGATGTTTTCGGTCGATTCGACGATGCCTTGCGTTAAATTTAAGCTTCGCCCCCTTATGCCGGACTCCTTATTTTTGGGCGACCACCAATTGACGAAGGTTCCGACGACCGGTACGTGCCTCAAAATTCCTTCCTGCCATAATCGATCTTCGTTTTCTTTTTGCAGATCTAAAGTTGCGGTCTCGATACCTATACAAGCAGTATACATTATATACAAAATTTTGAGTTTGAGAAGAGTATGAAAACGCGTATAAAATTAAAAGAATTGTTTGACTACAAATGTATTACAATTTCAAGTCGTGGGTCGGTCTACTTGACTTTTCAAACATTGCAAGGGACAAATTATTCTAAATGTGCTTTTTAGTAATTCAAGGGGATGTTGCTTAAATAAATGTGTGAGAAGATACCTTTTTTCACAATTTCGCTCATCGAGTCCAAAACTCGCGAGTTCTCTTCGACCGACTGCCCGACCTTAACCACCAAATTGAGAAGTTCTTCGATATCCGACTGTGCGGTAAGCATGCCGAATCTAACGCACATCAGTCCGTCGACACCTTCGCCCAGCGAAAACGCGGAATCTGTAGCACGTAGCGCGTCTACGAGCGCGATATTCAACGAATTTAACTCTCCCTTGGCTTGGTCGGTCAAGAGCTGTTCCCAGCCTTCGGGGGCGTATCGAACACCTCCGAGACCTATTAACGCACAACATTATTGATATTATTATTTTGCTCGCTACCAACCTGCCCATTCAGGTAGTTCGACAAGTTTCAAGACGGGCGACACCTCAACCAATTTAATAAAAGTTTCTTTTTGCTGAACCGTAGCCCGTAAAATCACCAACTGCTGCTCCAAACACTGCACGAACATCTGAATGTCTTCGACCGATGGATGATTCGGAGTGACATTTTCAAACGGACAATACCGCAATACCACTCCGATATTCTCTAACTCGCAAATATCTATATTAACCTAAAAAAAAATCGCGTTACAACCCCACAAAGCTTCGGCGACCTCCTACCTGTGGCGCGTCCAACTGTAAGATTTGGCCTAACCACGAGTTTAACTTGTCGTAATAGTGAGGCACTTTCGTTAGTACCTCATTCTCCTTAGTTTCTGGAATGAATTGGAAGACCACACAACTCGCAGTCGTCTCTAACAAAATCTACAAAGTCGCACCGTGAGCGCTCCCCACACACACATAAAAGGACTTACAGAAGTATTAGCCGGTTTAGATATTAGCTCGGAAACGGTATACGAACCGCTTTCGCCGCCTGGTTTCGGGCTCTACACAGCGCGTTAGAGAAAAGTATTAGCACATTCGCAACCTTACCAAAAGTCGAACGTGTCTGTACACGTCTACGGCGGCCCAGAGTCTCTCGCTCGAAAGAAAGGCGTCGCGAATTCGCGCGTGAAATCCCTCTCGGCCCAGCGATTGCAACAGCATCCATAAGGGTAAAGCGACGATGCGTTTGCCTTGGTGATCGGTACTCAAACCGGCGATCAAAGGCAGTGTGCTTTCTCGACTCGCGCCGACTTGCCGATTGCGAACCTGATTTTGGTCTTTGGTCGAATCCCAAATTCTATACAATGTCTTGTTTATTTATTAAGGATCAATTTTTCATAATTTATGATGATTCAGTATAAGCAGAAGCGCCAACACAACAGTCTCGGGTCTCAGATCTGAAGTGAGATAAGTAATCCGAATTTAAAGCGTGCGCGGTACGAACCCTGACGCCTAAGGAGTCGAAAGTTTGTGGTTTCTAGGTGGGTCAACTGAACTGTCGAAAGCAAAGCTAGTGTATACGCGACTTTTTTCTAAGTAGACCCTTCACTTTCGAAATGAACCCTCAATATCAGCACTTCTGATCTAGAACTACTATAGCTTCTGCAAATCATTGAACTTTTTCATTAAAGACGGTTCTGGCTGAAATTTGATCCCCCCCCCCCCCTCCCCCAGTATTTCAAGCAATTCATTCATTCATTCACTCATATAGGTATTTAGAACAGTGTTTTTATACCATGGAACAGTGGTTCCCAAAGTGGGTGCCGCAAGCACTTCATAAGGGTGCCGGGAAATTTTTAAATATTTACTTAATAGGCTTAAAATTACATAAATTAAAAAAGGAATTAAAATAATTATAAAAAATGAACTCTACAAAAAAGTTCATTACAGTTTTTTTTTTGCGAGTTCCTTTGTTTTTGAGAAGTTTTGAAATGAAAAGTCAACAATCTATTTATTTTATTTTTCTAAATTTCATTTTTTTTTCTAAAAGTAAGCATCAGAGTGAAAAATGTCAATTACAAAAAAGATGTGTCTTGATGAGGTCTACAAAAAAGGCTTGTACACTTTTTGCGTCGTGTTCAAAATAAAGGCGCTAGAGGGCATTTTCTAAATTTTATACTATGGCCAAAGATAATAGGGTCTATTAGTGGTTACGTCATAATAGCCCGCGAAATTCGAATTGCCGGACTTGATTGTTTTACTGTCGGAAATATTGACCCCTATCGCCCTATCCATTAAGGCTCACATTCAAATAGGCATTCTTTATGGGCTTATACTGACCTTATGCGAATTAAATAAGCACATCGGCTCCCATATATCGAAGCATTGATTACTTACGTTAAAAACAGAGCAATAATCGTTAAATAAAATCCATTAATTGCGTTATAATTAAAAATTAAAGATATGTCTACCATATTTACACTTTAGACCTGTTTGACACTGCCAAATTTTTTCCAATAATTTTTGTAAAAATGTTGTTCACGAAAATTTTGTGTAATTGCAGACACAGTTTGGATAGAAATTTCTATAAAAATAATAAAAAGTAAAACGTCTTTTAAAATCTCGAGAATTTACGCGAGAATCGGCGCATAAAAGTGGCGCACTCGCAAAACAGCGACTTCTAACCTCCAATATATTTCGTGCGACGGAAGGTGAAATTTTTTTAACATAATTGCTTAAGTGTTCACGGTTTTGGTTTTAAATTAGCAATGCCGTGGACTCAAGAGGAAGTCGAAATTTTAATTGAATCGAAAGAATGAAGTACGACAAAATTGTGGTTATGTTGTCAAATGACAAATGTGAAGGTTGGTGTGAACAGCTGATCAGAATTTGGTTGTAAGTACGCATGCTCAGGTTGAAAATTTTATAGAAAATTTAATGAAAATTTGCAGAGGTAGCATACCGACTTCCGCTCTTTAAACATTTCGCCAGAATTTGTTCTAAAATTATTTTAATAATTTCTACTAAATTTTCTATATTGTCAAACAGGTCTTACGGTTGGCAATATGGAATGATCATGACCTCTATGACCTTGTTCTTGTGGTTACATTTTTCCACTTACTACACTTAGTCGTTTACTCGCCTTTAAATTGTGTCTTTTGAATTTGTTTTAAGTAGTTTTCAATAGTCCTAGTTGTTTTTTTATTATATGTTTACATTAGAAAATGTAAACATATGAATACGGAATAAGATAGGTTATGATCATTCCTTACTGCCAACCGTAAATTGTAAATATGGTAGACATAATTTTAATTTTTAATTATAATGCAATTAATCGATTTTATTTAGGGATTATTGCTCTGCTTTAAAGTTAAGTAATCAGTGTTTCGATATGCTTATTTAATGCCCACAAGGTCAGTATAAGCCCGTAAAGCTATTTAAAAATAATACTTAATGTACGGGGCGGTAGGGGTCAATATCTTCGACAGTAAAACAGCCAAGACCTACAATTCGAATTTCCCGCTCAAATTTGACGTCACACTAATTGCAATGACTATTAAAAGTAGAAAGAAAGTGAAGGGAGGAGTTTACCTGACAATTTTAAGTAAATGCTTTTGTGTTTAGAAATTTTTTTGTAAAGACTCCTCATCCTTTATCTCTTTATTAACTGTAAAAAAACAAAAAAATAATACTAGGGGTGTCGCGAATTTTGTTTAATAATTTTAGTGTGCCGCCAGACAAAAAAAGTTTGAGAAACACTGATTTAGACCCATCTAATAGCGTTTTCGATTGGCAACACTCGTGCTGCACGAGTGCAATTTTTACGTTCTATTGGTAATTTTAGGGCAATTTTCTATCTTCCATTGGCAAATGTAATGCAACAATTACGCACTCAGTGCAAATTTCGACGCACGAGGTCCGAAAGCTCGTGGAGCTGCTAGTTAACAAATTTTCAAAACAAACGTGCGACAATTTGAATTTGTTTCTTGCGCTGGAGAGTTTTTTGTCGTCATCTAGCGATAGCGAAGGTGATGAACTAGCCATAACTTCTACTTTACAAAAAGTTGCACTTAGTCATTAAACTGAACGCCAAAAATTGGTCTTTTACAGGAATTTCAAATTTATACTCCTCATCGTTTATCATAAATAATACTAAAATCATTTCAGTCATTTTTTAGAATAGAGATTTGTCGATTATCTAAATCTATAATGAGGTTATGGACAAATGACAACAAATATTTGCAAATATTTATGTTCCATTGAGAGCAATTTTCACAGAATTTCTTCAGTTTCTCGTGCAACACTCGTGCAGCACGAGTTTTACCAATCGAAAACGCTATAACTTTGGTTCATGTTCTGACACTCATGTTGATCACGTAAATGTTTATATGACCAACTTCAAGGATAATATGGGATTTTAATCAAAATAGATGCAACTTCCAAGCGAAAAATGAGGTACATATATGCGCAGAACCCGCTATAGGTACTGATCGACATAAGGAAAATGTTTACCCCACGCAGAAAGTAGCATATGTAAACATTGTAGCGATTGTTCTAGGACAATATCATGGCGCCATCAAGTCGATCAAGTTTTAATCGGCGATAAGCAATAAAAGGGGATGACCCATTCTTTTTATGAAACATGATTTCAGACGTGCGCGGGTGATCATTGTGTATAATAAATGCCAATAAATCACGTATTGAATTTACGTTACAATCTGTAAGTGTGCGTTTACAACGAACGTATACGTAAGAAATACATAAATCGTAAAAATTTCGCAGAGTTGAACTGTATAGAAACATACGAAGGTGTTTACAATGAACGTAATTTTTACGTACGTATATGTAAGCGATATGTAAGTCTTGCGCATAGTCACAAAGGTTGAAAATGTTTCAAAGTTAAGTACGGTCAAATATCATACTACTTGTAGTATGATCTTTGGTTTAAGTTCATTGTAAACGCACACTAAAGAAATTGGGTGGTAGAAGGGATCAAACTAAACGTTTTTTTTAAATAAATTTAGTTACGGTTGCAAAAAACAATTACATTATTTTTCTGAAACACCTGAATTGATAGTATTTTACATTATTAGCCAGGTAAGTGAGTTTTTACTGGCGATAGGAGAAGTTGACTGGCGAGCCGTCAGGCGAGCCTGTCATCTCCTAGAGCCAGTTAAAACTATTACCTGGCGTATAATGTACAATATTTTATTTGTTACTCATTTGTAAACGTAAATAATTAGTTCTTAAATTGATCTCGAAGAAATGTCTAAAATATCATATTATCCATGTAACAGAGAGTTTGCGTTAATTCTGGCCAATGAAATTACTAGATTACTAACTTGTAAAATTTTTACACGTCAGCTGTCAGTTTTACAAGTCAGTAGCGTTTAAAGATGACGTTTACCCGTTTGCGTTTTGTCTTGTTAATCAACGTTTACAACTGAGTAACAAATAAAATAATTTATTTGTTACTCAGTTGTAAACGTTGATTAACAAGACAAAACGCAAACGGGTAAACGTCATGTTTAAACGCTACTGACTTGTAAAACTGACAGCAGACCTGTAAAAATTTTACAAGTTAGTAATCTAGTCATTTCATTGGCCAGAATTAATGCGAAGTCTCTGTTACATGGATAACATGATATTTTAGACATTTCTTCAAGATTAATTTAAGAACTCATTATTTACGTTTACTATTGTTTACAAATGAGTAACAAATAAAATATTGTACATTATACGCCAGGTAATAGTTTTTACTGGCTCTAGGAGATGACATTTCATGTTGAACAAAACCCAGATACCAAATTTTTGCAACACCGTTTAGAGATGCTTTATTTTGCGGTAAAAATTTTGTAGTTTTTTACATATATTCCAACCTTTTAGCACAGATTTAAATTAAATCTGTGCTTTTAGCTTATGGATGCTCAAAAATTAAAGAAGGAACGCAATTTTTGGAGCTTGTAACTCCCATACGAAACATTTTGAACCCTTATTTTCTTGAATACGAATCTCTATTGTTGTCTCCTTACTCCCCAATTCCATCCTGTATATGTATAATATACACGTTTATAGATACGCTTTCCCTAACGTGCAGTGCATATGATTTTATAAACAGCAATAATTTCTATTTTGGTCAACATAGGAAAATTTACACAGATACCGCTTCACAGCGAACGAGAACAAAAGTATGTCTTGCTTAGAAGATAGTAGCAACACTTTCTATATAAGTATATAAGATTTTAGGTTCCCAACAATACTATTCGCGATTCAGATTAACAGTGAGACCTTTGACAGCAGCGCATTGTAATTACAATTGGTGATAAAAGACCGTCAATTTGGTTATTTACAATGGACAAAAGTAATCAATATTGTAGTTTTTGCGGCTGTAAAGGTAAATACACTTGAAAAAATTTCATTTGCAATCAATGTAATTCCACTTTAAAGAGTAAAGATAGTTTAAAACGTCACATTTTATCATAAATAAGTGAAAATCCAAGATCTCCCCATAAAATGTAATGAAGTTGTTTACATGACATGTTTCGTAACGAACCTCGTTCCATTTTCAAGTGTTAAATGAAAGAGGATATAACAATCAATACATCCTAGGGGGAATGATAAAATTTAAAAAAAAATAACAATTGACATGTCTGAAGGACCAAAATTACATACCGGGGTCTTTAACTGGGCGACCGCATTAAACGTCCGATGGCTTAAAATTAAGTAACAAAAAGCAAAACCGACATTTTAACAAAAATTAGAGGTTAAGTTATTTTATCATGTCACTTTCAGAAAGTTTAAATGTGATCAGTGTAATTATGCAACCAACAATAAGGACAATTTAAGAAAGCATGATCTAACGCATATTTCCAAAGTCTTTAATTGTGAACAGTGCAATTACACAACAAAAAATAGGAGGTGCATCCGTCATTCTTTGACAGACTCCGCTTTGAATAACTTTCTATTACTGCTATCAGTGTAATTGCACTACAATGAAACGTTCGATTAAAGCGTCACCTATTAACACACAGAACCTCTCAAACATTTGATTTGTAAACAGTGTAATTGTGCTACTCACGATAAACATAACTTAAAGCGGCATATTCAACGATTGTTTAATTTGTGGTCAGTGTAATTATGCCAAGAATAGTAAAGCTGTTTTAAAGCATAATCAACCTAAGGGAATGTCAGCGAGTGGTAGTAAAGTTGTATGAGTGTGCTAGAAATTGAATGATGAATTGTGATCTTTATTTGTAATTAGAAAATTACGTTAATTGCGTGTTCGAGCTAATTCACGACAGCCTCAAGTTCTCAAGAGAAAGGCGTTTTGGATAGTATAGGAATAAGGGGTTATATTTTTAAATCTCAAAAACGGCAGGATAAACTCAATTCACTTTCAAATTAGTACAATAAAAACCTGCACGAATACTGCTACCACCTATAGACGCCATTTGTAAATGACACCAGCGCCTCTAGTGTTAATCTGAATCACGAATCCTTCTCCGTTACTTTTACTCTATGCTTTATACCAGGGGGTAATCAAATGTTTGTATAGATACAAACAGATAAGTATAGCAATGTTATATCAATATAAATTTGCATCATTTGAGTGCTAACGAAGTCTGCAGGAACGATTGCAGGTAGTGTAAGAACACAGCTGAAAATATGTCGATAGTTCTGGTCCTTGGGAAATTGAGGACCAATTAATGTGTCCCTAAGGTTGAAAATTTTGGAGACCTCTGCTCAATACTACAAACAAATGAGTACAACTTTCAGATTGGTAATTTGGCAATTGTACTGGTATAGAACAAACGGCAATAAACATTATATGAGTGTGAGAGAGACATACTTTTTACCAATGTTGATATTGAGAGTTGCAAGACAACATTAGCGCCATCTGCCGTTATCCGTCTGATTACGAAATGGTAACAATGTAAACTAAAGGCAATAAGCTTCCCCACCACTCTGGCAGCGCGCTCTTAAAACCTTCTCCAAAGGTGCATATTGTATGGCGTCAGCATTTTAAGTTTGTTGTAGGTATATTCTATCTCACTTTAGGCTCATAATGCTTATAGGGTTTCTTTTTAGATTATTATAACTTAGACCCACAATCAATTTTTTCCCTAACAGTATAGAGCAATGCTACCTTAAAGTACTCAGATTATGCACAATTAATGCAGTAATTTGGGATTATCATTTGAAATTATTGAATAGGTATTATCATTCAACCTCTGTCAACAACAAAAGCAAAAGAGCAGTTTCTTAAAGGCAGCAGGAAATAGAATACAAAAAACAATTGCTGCTACTCAAGCATCAATAGCTCTTGCTGCATTTCCTGCAGGGAGTGATTTCTAACAATAAGCGTGGGAGATCCGAATTTTGCTGGCACTTATCAAATTTCCTCTGATAAAACATTTGAAAAGGATACAACCATTGGCAGGCCGGTGACACCTAACCAACTTCCAAGAGATAAAGTAACGCTATCGGCCCCGCACTGATTCTACAACCAAAAAATCGATTATCCAAAGTTCGATTTTTCACTTCTTACCGGTTCACTAGGCTGAGTCAACGGTAACGTAAGAGCTGCTAAGGAATGTCCTCGAAGATGTAACCATACATCGTGTAATTTACATAAGTCTTGCAATCGCAACAAATTATCAACGTGTCCTGCGATCGGGGTACCAGCATCCGCAATTACAATTAAAGGTGTACGACCGGCATTCACATCTTCGGCCAACATTTTTTGTAAAGCACCTACATCCATCGTATGCTGAGAACCTACATTTATAAATTAAAGGTCGAACTAAATCGAAATGAACTGTTACCGAAGTGAGTGTTTACGGGTACAGGTCGAACACAAGCGAGAGGCAGCCCTAATTGTCTACACAAATGCTGTACCACACCTAAAGGACTTGCTACACTGCTATATATCGTCGGAGGTACTGTACTAAATGCTAAAGCACCGTCCTCAAGATACCTCGGATATTTGTAGTGCAACATCATCCGTGTTATCCTCACCAATCCTTCCAATTGATCATCATGATAAAATGCGACAGAATCCACAAACCTTAAACACACAGTTAGCTTTTGCAAAAACCACCTTCGAGTCACTAACCCGAAAATTTGGCACAACCACCGCGTTGTATCAGTGGTAACTCTGGTACTGAATTTTTGTAATAAATGTCTATCTAAACCGCCGCAATAAGCGCTGATACTATGCGAGACTATCACCATTTTTGAAATATCATCTAATACCGGTTGGGGAGCGGCTTCGCTCTCGTCGTCGCTAATCAGCAGGCTCTCAATCGTCTGTATAATTTCATCGGATCTTCGCTGTTCAACACCGAGAAACACTGTGGGCTGCGCCGGTACCGAATCAGGCGATTTGCCATTTTCTGCGACTTGTTCGAGCCGACTTACGATTTGAGAGGCCTCGATCGCTATTTCACCCAAGTGGGCCTGCGAAAGCAATGTAAATTGGGTGATTGGGCGTAAATTCGGTTGTACTTACAGTCTTGTTGCTAGTAGGGCTCATGTTTTCCTTGGTCAAATCTAAATTAACCAATTTTTCGTTTTTTGAATACTTTTTGTCTTTCGGCGAATTAGCCATCGTGGCAACCGATACAACAATCGCGTTGTACGTGTCAAAATACACAAGGAGATAAATGCGTCCGCACGACTTTGTTTATACTATAGCGATATCAATTTTTATCTTCTTAAAAAACCGGTACGATATATAAACAAGGTTAGGGGGGAACAAGAACGTCTCGCATCCATTTATTTTAACGAGTCATTACTCATTAATAAATATAAACAATTTAAGGAATGGCACGAATAAAGCCGCGTATCCACGAATTTTTATGATTCGGAACGAATTGAGGTTACGTTGCGCACGTCAGAATGACATTTCACTGACAGGGAGACAGGACCGGATTCACCAACGAAGTGGGATTCAGATACGGACTGTGTAACATTTATGAAGTGACTACTTCTTATTATACAAATATTCTTATCATTCGATATGTAGCTACTTCAACCTTCTTTGACCACAACGGACGAGAGTAAAATCATTTCATTCGTAACGTCTCAGAATATATAGCTCTATGTTCTGTGGTCATCAAGCGTTTAACTGTAGACCATATGGTTTTAACAATCTGCAACCGAAAGCGAAGTCGGTGTACCCGTCCGCTCGCCTGGCTCACAATTGTTTTAAACGCATTTGAGCAGAAATGTTGAATTAAACTTGTCGATTTGTTTTTGAAACAGGGGTTGGAACCCAAATGAATTTGGTTTCGGTTCGGCACTGCTTAGGTAGAATATTGAAGTGAAACTGCTTTAGGCCCGGTAGGGTAAGCCGTATGGTACGAGCGGCCACGGTCACGAAAATAGTGAAACGGTCCGAGGAGAATGAGAGTACCTAAGTAGTGCAGAACCGGAATTACCTTGAAATCCACCCTGTATATACAACTTACGACGATGTACACATTTTTGACAGTTGGCAACCACACAATTTTTAGGAGGGGGAAAGTGTTTTGCGCCATCTGTAGAAAGCGCGAACGTGGGTTACGTTTGGCATCTCGTCTTGAACGGCGATCGTGAACGCGTCGCTCCGTAAATGTTTGTTGTTATTTAATGCAGGTAGTAATTTTTGCATTTCTTTATATCGTATTTGTGTTTGGTATGCCGCATTTTATATTTTTTGTGTTTGAATCTTTGTTTTTGAAATTTACTTGGTTTAACCGCAATGCAGAATGACATGTTTAATACCGCTATCTTATTGTTTGTAATCGTTTACGTTTTTGGTGTAATGTTTGCTTATTTATGTTTATGTGTTGATTACTTGGTCTTGTGAGAAGTTACATTCGTATAAATGTTGGTCGTTTTATTTTAATATGTGGAAATTACTGATTCGTTTGATGTATGTATACTGACTTGTTGTTTGTTACTAACATTACTAACATCCGTGAATGAAGCAGTCACGGGGGTGGTAAAACTGTTGTCAAAATTGAGTTACGACACCTAATTCCGTGATTGTCTTCGACATTCAACTATAGGCTCTGAACCCCGAAACCAGAGGCGGGTTACCTATCTTGCAGGAGCCGGATTACGCTAATCATTAATCAAAGCCCTTCAGTTTAGAATCTATGTGCGATAAATGAGTTACGATTCGTAATTTCCACATATCTTGTTTTTAGTTAAATTTGCCTACAAGGCCATGTAAGTTTCCATCATATGAGTCACATACTTAGTCACATACTTAGTCACATACTGTGTATTTCACCCTTTCTTAGAATCTTGGTACCTGCTTACCGCCTGACCCATAATTCCCAAAACTTGATTTTAACCTATATGTTACTTGAAGTCTACATGCTACCTTTTGTTATGTTATAAATTATAATTTTATATTACGCATTCACATCATTACAAACAATTAATTTTACTACACAGTTTAATATTAATTTGACGGCTGGTTTTTTATCGGTATGTTCTTTTTTTCCAGCCTATTTCTATTTTCAAAGTTTATTTTTGCAATGTAATTTATTTTGAACTTAAATTTTCGAGCTTCCACAATCTTAATAATTACGAACATTTATAAACAAACTTTTCACAATTTGAGTGTTTTATTTTACGTGCCTTCCCTACTGTGCTTCAGGTAAAAGCATTGTTTACAATTATCATAAGGGGACCCCGCCATAGATGGTTTATCACGTACCACTTTTCAAATATAAGCGGGATTTTGTTTAGTTTTGGAGGGAATGGTCATTCAGGTGGCCATTTTTAAATGTTGCTGAGTTGATTTTATTTCCGTGGTCTTGTAGTGTAATTTTAGCGTAGAACCTGCATAGGTGTTAAGTACACTACAACCTATATTTGATGTGGGTTCCAATCCTTGATTATAACCATCAGAGCTGTTGAGAATGGATTCTACTACCCGTAAAACCACTCTTAATTCAATAAAAATACGCTTCTTGACATTGATCTTTGTATTTTATTTTTATTTCTTTTGACATAACATTATTTACTTCGCAACTTGCTTAGCAACAACTTAATGATAATCTTAGCAACAAATAATGAGGATTTTCTATGTGTTGCCACAAGAGCCGTCTTCATACGTACCAAAGAAAAACGTCCGAATTGTACCTTGGTCTCCCCTTCCCTACACTTACAGTTGGCAACTCTGGGGAAAACTACGAGCAGAGTCACCTAAATTTCAAGTCAAAACGACGGACGTTTCGCGACACTTTTGAATCTCGGTAGCCATATCGACTCGATATGGACAACACGAATGAACTCCTATTTTGTGTAATCGGTCCTTTTATATGTTGGGACGTGGGACATAATCGGGAAGAGAATTGAATAAAATGCAGAATTCTGTGCGTAAGAAAAGACGAGAACAAAGTACGGGAGCTAACTCGAAATCACCGTCTGCCGCTTCCTTGCGGTACCAGTTGGTTGTTTTTTGAGAAAATTAGTAATACACCAAATGAAACCGTTGATAATAGCTCTTAAAAAAATCGCGAACATTTGATAACTCCGTAAAAAACAATTCTTGGTCGGTTTTTTCACGAACTTTCTACAGATGGTATAGGTACTTAACTATGTTACAGTTGGATGAATGAAGCTGATTTTTTTTACAATGACTAATGGTAGGTACTGCCAATGACTAGAACAGTGGTTTTTTTTCAAATTTTTTCCCTAATTATAAGATATAATAATAAGATAATCTTATCTCTGCTTATGTTACCACTTTGATAAGCGCAGCGTGTTAGTCAGGAAGGATATGACGCAAAGAATGAGGAGTGTTAAATAGTTGTTGAGAGATGAAGGGTAGTCAGTCGAACTATCAGCCATAGTGGCAATATAGTTAGTTTCGTGACCAATACATTAATTAGGTACGTCAAGGTAGAATTTTCATTACTTATTACGCTTTTGCTTAAATACTTCCAATTAACTTTATTCTCAATATCTCCGATCCCTAAAATAGTCACGTCAGCTCTCGTTATGCTAAAAGCTACCCCCTAGACGCGACTTCGATTTTGCAAAGATTTTGTTAGGGCATTTGTATTGATAATTTTTATCCGTATGTTCAATAAAAACTTGCAATTTCTAAGCGTCGGCGTCGCGTCGCGTCGTCATCCAAACAAATTACATAAAACTGGACTAAACAATGGATCGGCGAGATTTTTTCCAAACAAAAATCGGTATTTTTCTCCTAGTCCCTTAACATAAAAATTCACCTGCATTTGTTTGGTTTGCACACCAGAAAATAGTATACCTATTGCACTAACTGATATTAAATATTTATCAAAATAGTGATTATAAATGTTTATAGGCCACAAGCGTCTAGAACTCCATGGTCAAAGGCCCAGAATAAAATTGATACAATCGGAAGAACGCTAAATGATAGTGGATTAAGAATATAAGCCATGGCACTATTGTATATAACGTTTATAGTTCTTCTTGTAAACCAAATAGCGGCACAAAAAAAATGTGTCGACGGCACTGTATATGAAAATGAAAAAACTGGTAAGTGTATTTCTGACTCGATTTCAGAATAAACCATTGTGCATTGTCATTTCGCAACAGACTATTATTGGAGAGAGTACGTCGGGGAAATACCATGTGATGCAATCCCTGGCGGTTTTGATAGGTCTGGGAAACCCACATATATCGGGCAAATGTATCATTCAAAGTTTGGTCTGCTTCCATCGACCATACACAATGGCTCCACCAAATTGCTATCCTCTGGTGGTGGAAACTCATTTACATCCGATACATTTGTCAAGGTAACTATACACCTTAAATCGTAAGTGCCCACTACACGAAGGTATATTTTAGATTTTGTGCAGCCGACACCACGACAGATATAAATGGATACCTACCGAAAATTCAAAAGGTCACCTACTAACAAACTACCATTTGGTAATTGGGGGTAACGAGGCTGGATACGTTATAAATATAGGACGAGTAAATCACGAAATGGAAATCGTTATTGGTAAAGTATTTGCTCACCACACGCCATACCGAGGTCTATCCATACCGAATAAGGAGAACGAGGCAACATACCAAAGTTACGAAATTTTAGTGTATGATTATTGTTATTACAAAGCATGCAATAACACTACTGATATTTCTAATGTAAGATTGTAAGCAAATGTTATTACCTACGCAGAAATAAAGTTCTCAATGACAATTCATTCATTTTAGTGGTACCTAGAAGTGGGTAAGTACCAATTTTTTACATATGGATACCAAGCATCGTACTGTGGCCAATATTCCAGAAATCTCGATAGACATGAAAGATTAGTCTTCGGCGCAAGGCTAAAAGGAGCGCGGAGGCCGCGCGCATTCCTTCCTTGAAATATAATCCCCTGTCTAGACCTTTCCAAACCTTCGAGAAGCGTTCAATTTCACCACCTACCTAAGTATATAAGCAAATTGAAGCGTCTTTGAGTTCAGTTCCAATTTCAAACGCCGAAGTAATAAATAGTTCGCGCTGTTATAAACTGTGTGTATCTTAGTGATAAATAATATTTTTATTGTTATAAATTAATCCATTTCAAAACTGTTATAAATTTATTGTTAATTAATTGTAAATAAATTAATCACGTAATTAAACTTAGCTTACGAAGCATGCCAACAAGCAATGGAAGCTAAAATCGCAGCCGGCCAACACAATCATCGTCTGTGATACAAGATCTACTGGCTGTTCCACAATGGTTCCGCAAAGAAGCTGTGTAAGTATTGGTACGTCCAAAATTCGAGTTAAGCCACCGACATTCGATGGAAATCACCGTGGTTTACCTACTTGAGACAGTTTGAGGCCGCTGCTGATACAAATAATTAAGTAGACTGTGAAAGAAAAGGCAACTTTCCTTATAGTTGCTTTACGTGGAGATGCTTTGGATGTTTTGCGTATGATTCCAAAACACCAGTAAAAGAAATCGAACGCAAATATCGGATGTCATCAAGATGTCTCGGGGTATTGCAAAGTTGAAGTTCCGGTTTGGGAGCTTAAGAGAAATCTGCGTTCAATGTCCCGAGGTTGGTAAAGCTTGTTTCCTACACGAGTAGGGATGATTCATTTATTATCTCGTAACCATAAAAGACCTGTCCCGTAATTTTATTTATTTATTTATTGTCCCTCTCTTATTCTGGGCCCTCAGGCTTTTTCGCCCGCATAATGCTTTTTAGAGGTGCCCCTGCAGAAGGTCTTAAGTTGTTCTATACTACTCCGGTATTTGCCTTACAAATTAGGAAAACTGCAGGAAATCCTAGCCGGCAGAATACTCGAAACTGATCTAAGTAAATTCACATCTCTGCCACAAATGAAAATTCACCTCAGCCCAGGTTCGAACACCCGACCTTTCGGCTATGTAGCCCAACGCTCTACCACTGAGCCACACAGTCGGGTGCTAATAAACCCAGTTAAAACGACAATTACATATTCATGGCCTTGCCAAGTTAGCAATTCCAAAGATCGGATTTGGCCTTGATAAGTTGGACTGTTGTGCGCAACATGCTGGAGGTGGTATTCCAGGATGGAAATATTCGTATTTTGCTTTAACTGATTCGTGAGACGGCGGCGGGCGGATTGTTTTTTCTTCAAGACTGTAAGATGCACAAGGGGGTTGTCGTGCAAGTACCGCCATCAAGTTCGCGATATACAACAAGAGTTCCCTGGGACTGTGTCTCCGCTACAACCGTCGTCTATGTTGCGAGACGCAACAGATTTAAGAGTGTGTAGCGAATATTACAAAAATCCCGATAGACATCGAGGCGCCATGAAGGATTAGTAATCAACGCAAGACTATATAAGGAATGCGGAGGTGGCGCATTCCGTCCTTGAAATATAATCCGCTTTCTAGACCTTTCCAGACGTTTCGCAAATCTTCGAGAAACATTCCGTTTCACTATATAAGCAAATTGAAGTGTGTTTGAGTTCAGTTCCAATTTCAACGTCGAAGTAATAAATATTTCGAGCTGTTATAAATTGTGTATACGTGAGTGATAAATAATATTTTTGTTATAAATTAATCCATTTCAAGACGGTTATAAATTTATTGTTAATTAATTGTAAATAAATAAAGCACGTCATTAAATTTACGTTATAGCACAGAAGCTTTGAATATAATTTATATTCAAAGACAGAAGGTTCGCGAGAGTTAGATGTGGAATTTCAAAGAATCCTTAATATTAAAAAACCTTATATACCAGACCAGGTGTTAAGAACATCGATTACCTTGCATCGTATAATGGTCTATATTCAAGACAAAGAAGAAAGAAATAAATATGTAGCAGCGCTATATCAACAAATACAGGCAAGAATTTTAAAATGTTATTTCACACAATTCAATACTGGGAACGTGCTCCTTGTTGCGCAGTCTAAGGCCCCCTAGTTATTGCTGAATGATCGGAATTTGTGTATTTAGTTTGAGTTTTTGTGTTTAGAAGGGGCAGTTGGCCTTTGATTGTTGGCGCACAAAATATCTATGATTTCCAGTTTCGCGTCTGGACAGCTCACTCAGTATAAATATATCATGGTTTAATTCCAAAATTGTTTTTCTAAGATCTTCGGACTTCGAGCCTTTTTAGCGCATTTTTTAAGAATAAAAAAAGTATGCTATTGTTTGCGTTTTGTCCGTCCGGACCCACTTCTGCCGTTTTGAACTACTTCTAGGGGGGGTGGAACTAATTTTATCCTTCATGGTACTCTTAATGAAAGGTCTCAACGAAAGGAATTAATTTCTACCAACAATAGCCCTCCTCCTCGACCTCTTATCGTGATCAAAAGCTATTTCGGTTTTAAAAAATGCGCTTTATCTGCACAAAGAGTTGTGCACAATTTATACTTGTTCTATTTTGTAAAGCTTTTGCATTGTAAGCTGGCCTTAGGACGTTTGAATTGATTTTTTGAGCTTTTTTGCTACCTAAATATGTCTTCCAATGAGAAATCTTGATCCCTACATGTGCCTACACCCAGATTTGGTAGGATTGCACAACAGACAATAATATATTGCACTGGTATTATAAACAATTAAATACTTATCAAATTAGTGTTTATAAATGTTTATATGTCACAATCATCAAAGGTCGCTGCGACCGATTAATTAAATTGATAATATTGGAAAAACTCTTATAAAAGACGCTCTTTGCTGATATTGATAGTTTAATTATCAGACATGGTACTACTGTATATAACGTTTATGGTGCTTCTTGCAAACCAAATAACGGCACAAAATAAATGTCTCGATAGCGCTCTATATGAAAATGAAATAACTGGTAAGTGTATTTCTGAGTAGGTATACCTCGGGGCTCGGAGTATACCATTGCTAACATTTCGCAACAGACTATTATTGGAGAGAGTACGTTGGGGAAATACCATGTGATGCAATCCCTGGCGGTTTTGATAAATCCGGGAATCCCGCATATATCGGGCAAATGTATCATTCAAAGTTTGGTCTTCTTCCTGCTACCATAACTAAAGGTTCCCAAAAAGCTCTAGCCTCTGGTGGTGGAAGCTCATTTACATCCGATACATTTGTCAAGGTAACTATAATATACCTTAAGTCGTAAGCATGGTGTCTCCATGGTCGTAAGTGCCCACTGAACGTATACCTATTTTAGATTTTGTGCAGCCGACACCACGACAGATATAAATGGGTACCCACCGAAAATGCAAACGGTCACCTACTAACAAACTACCATTTGGTAATTGGAGGCAACGAAGCTGGATACGTTTTAAATATAGGACGAGTAAATCATGAAATGGAAGTCGTCATTGGTAAAGTATTTGCTCACCACACGCCATACCGAGGTCTGTCCATACCGAACAAGGCAAAGGAGGCAGTATACCAAAGCTACGAAATTTTAGTGTATGATTATTGTTATTATAAGCCATGTAATACTACTGATATTTCTAATGTAAGATCGTAAGTAAATGTTCCCACGTTGAAATAAAGTGACAGTGACGTTCCAATGACAATTCAATAATTTTAATGGTACCTAGAAGTGGGTACCAATTTTAACCATATGGATACAGAGGGTTCGCGAGAGTTAGATGCGGAATTTCAAAGAATCCTTCATATTATTAAACCTTATATACCACGTGTTAAGAACATCCCTTACTTCACATCGTATGTATCATGGCTGCAGAAACTTCGGATGGTCGATAGTCAAGATAAAGAAGAAAGAAATAAATACGTAGCCGCGCTATGTCAACAAATTCAGGCAGGAGTTTTAGAATTTCCTTTCACAGAGTTTCCAGATGACGGCCCTTTGGCACCCTTTAAGATTAGCGATGCCAGAGCCCAACAGGTAGGTAAGTGGGGAATTCGTAGCATTATCTTCTCATCGTCTTCAAGGGCCCCACTGATCTAAAACACTATCAACAAAATATCCACTTCAAAGAAATGTTGAATGCAGAACAAGCAGACATTCGCGTTGCACACAAAAAACGCACTCCTTATACAATTTCGCAAAACCTCCCCATCGGCTTTCCCACTGTGATGAAGTGCGTCAATTTGTCTAACGGTTTAGAGACTACGACCATTAATCCAATGTTAAAGAACAGTAACAAAAAAGACGACGATGATGAGTCCTGGTGCGACATTAGTGACGGAACGAGTACCACCATCACACTGGAAGAGTTACACATTACACCTCCCGTTACTCCAGGGAATAATGTGCAGGAAGTGTACGAGAACAAAATTACCGAACTGATGAAGATCATTAACGACTTACAAAAGCAAAATTTGAAACTTGGCGCAGTCGTCGCTGGGTATGAAAGGGATATTAATATACGTATGTACTGCCACTTTCAATTGCCTTATAAGCCGATCCTTCTCGTCGTTCTATAATACTCTCCCGGAATATTCGATCCGGGAAAATTCTCTCCTGGAAGATTCGCCTCGAAAAATTCGTCCCGACAGTTCGCCTTTCTTTCCTCTTCCAGACTTGCCCCAAGAAAATTCGCTTCCTCTGGGATACAATGGTCTCCCATATTTTCGCCTAGAACAGTCGATCGATATGAAGTGTGCTTAGAAAAGCTTGCTCTAGGAAGCCGAAGAATCCTCTTCTCCGAAAAAGTTTGCCCACACTGGAATACTGGCTCACAAGAAACCTACTCCAACAAAAAATTGACGTTCAGAAGAGTTCTGTGACAAAGTTAAAATTTACCCCGCTAAATTCGCCTCCAGATAAATTCACTTTCGCCCTCAAGGTGCTCTCCGGAATACATCCTTGCCAGGGACTTGGTCCAGGGAATTCGTCTTCTGGATTGTCCTTGCTCTTGAAGTAACTGGTACCCACACAATTGTAAAGTTTCCTTCTATTTGTGTGAGAAAATTGACCACGGAAGTTAGCGTTCACGAGAACTCTCAAGGGTAAATCCCGACAAAGAAGAATCGCCCCCAAAGACTTGCTCCCTAAGAATTCTCGTCGAAATCGAAGACTCATCTGCACGATTGTTGTATAGGGCGTTTCGTATTTTTCTCATATGCAATTCTTTCTGGTGTATGTTACGTTAAAGCAATTGTACCTATGTCACAGATCATATTACCCTCACAACTCTGTTGACACACTTTTGACCAATCATGTCCCCGATTTGATAACTGAGTTAGTTACAGTGTTGTGCAGCCTCATCCTCTCAATCATCATATACCTATATAACAACTGCGTTCGGCCCTTCCGGCCATCACTCCCGAAACCAATTGGGCTGCTACTTCATTCTGAAAGTCAGAGCTCGGAACACCCCGTAATGCGTCAACGATTCACAACTGCAGATCCCTGTGGAACCCCTCAAAGCGTGGCAGTCCTCCAGAAAGGACCGTTAGATACCTTACCTATAAGCCATTTTCAAAACCTCAAAACATACCTAAGTGCTATTTTATACTAATATGCATGTTTAGGTAATACTACGGCGGAAAGGAGCATACACAACTTGGTGGAAGAAATAAATTCGTTGAGGAGTAAACTTCAGGTGACTATAATGCGTACTTTGAGTAAATTCTAAAATATTAGCCTTAGGAGCAGAGTGACGTAAAAGCCGTATTGAAAAGCAGCCAATCACTGGCAGATAATCACTGGAAAGGAATTGTGACCTCATTAACCAGTGACGTTAAAGAATCTCAACAACAAAATGAAATATTAAGAGAGGAAATGAACGAGTTAGAAAAGCGACTAGAAGTAGTTTACTTATCTATGTAGGTACTGAAACCTTACTTGATTTTTTTTAAGGAAAGTATGACTAATAAACAAAGATTGTTGATCGCACATGAGAAGGAAATTGAGGATTTGAAGCAAAGCCACAAAAAAGAGAAAACGGAGCTGGAGCATCAATTTTACGAAAAAGTTAGCAAACTAATAACAGACCACGACTGTAAAATTGAGGATGTTAAGACAAATTACGAAAGAAACGTCCAGGACAAGGATCGCGAAATTGGAAGGTTGGAAGATCTAATCCAAGTTCAATGTAAACGGTAAGTCTTACTCGAGTGCCGGAACTGACAGTCAGTAGAGGTGTTACAGGATGCACGAAGAAGTAAGTAAAATTCGAACACAAATCGAAGAAAACCAAATTGAGAACCCAAACGATAGTCTGGAGAAGATAACCGTTCTTCAAAAATGCATAGCCAAAATGGATAGGCTGTTTAAAAAGACAGAAAGAAGCTTTAACAGGCAAATAACCAAATTGAAAACGGAAATTGAAATGCGAGACAAAATTATTCAGGTAATGTAACCGAAGTTCAACTTTCCTGCACTGAAAGTATTTGATTAGGTTCAGTTATCGACCCAAAAAGCTAAAATAGTGGCGAATACGAAGATGGAACGTCAGGCCGAAATCGATGCGACAATTTTGCAGCTGGAAGAACGATATAAGCATCTTTTGGAATCGCAGAAGTCGTACTTTCTATCGGAAAAGAAACAAGATGCAACTTTAATATCAGGCTTGCGTGCGATAATGGCGCAAAATAATATAGAGAGTGATATATGAAATAAATTATACATTTTTATAACTACCACCCTTGTATGTTATCATCCTACAAGGTACGCACTAGAAGTTTCAACAAGTAATAGGTACAACCGTTGTCCACTAGTGATTGGACATGATTTTATCTGAAAAACAAAATTTCATAAAAGTCGCACACGAAAATTAGTTCTGCACATGCGTAAATCTATTCTTTCCTTGTCTAAGCGTAAATCCATTTCATAGTATACCTACTAGATTCACTTTTATTAGAAGTATCGGTAGTTGAAATTTCGCTGGTAAATACAATAACTCTCCCAACTTAAAACGCTTCTTGATACCGGGTCTTCATCTGCACTGAAACTGGTAATTTCGAGGCGGAAAACAGGTGCTTCGTTACACACCCCCCTTTCTTCGGAAGGAAAGAGTGCCAATTTTTTTGCACGTGATCCTAAAACAAACAAAACTCCGGGACGGGTAAAACAGGACGGAAGTTCAACTACGCGATACCTCATCGGTACGGCTTTAAATTCTTCACGTGAACTCTTGGGATCATCGTTCGCTCGGCCAGATGTTCTAGTGTCGACTTTGTACACTACGTACGGGCCGGAATATTTGGGAGCTAACTTCGCAGCATAGCCCATGGAGGCTTTGTAACGGCGAAGCAAGCCGACAATGTCTCAGAGTAAACAGTTGGGGTATAATGCGGTTGGCTGTTGAGATATACTTATTTGTACCGCTACCAAGACTCACAGGGACGGACACATGTAGCTGCATCTCGGAACATACCTGGCCAATAATAATGGTCTAAAATTCGGTTAAGGGTTTTTGTGACACCGATGTGTCCGGCGGTCGGTAAAAGCCACGATTTTTCGTGAAGCATACGATATCATCTTTCAATCGATTGCTATGAAAGTATAATTTATTATTACAGATGCAATCTTCCGATATAGAATCGGGTAGGTCGGTTACAGCATTAAATTTGTTCCGGTACCCACAGAGAGAGAGAGTCATACTGCTGCAGGAAGGTACTCCATCTTGCTAGACGCCCGGTCGGACTCTTCATTGAATGCAACCGCAACGCAGAGACTAATGATAAGACAGTATAGTGAAATGATAACCTTCCAGATACGGTCGTATCTTCTCAATTCCACAAACGATGTGAGAGGTTCCACCCTGTACCTATATACAACTTACGACGATACATACATTTTTGAGAGTTGGCAACCATGCAATTTCTAGCTGAGAAAAAGCTGCCTGCGCCATCTAAAAAGCATCTCGTCTTGGATGGCGGTCGTGAACGCGTCGCTCCATAAAGGTTTGTTGTTATTTTGTGTTATTTAATGCAGGTAGTAATTTTTGCATTTCTTTATATCGTATTTGTGTTTTGTATACCGCATTTTATACTTTTTGTGTGTTTCAATCTTTGTTTTTGAAATTTACTTGGTTTAACCGTAATGCAGAATCATATGTGTGATACCGTTATGCTATTGTTTGTAATTGTTTACATTTTTGGTGTAATGTTTGCTTAATTTATGTTTATTAATGTTGATTACTTGGTCTTGCCCCTGAAGTAACATTGATATAAGTATTGATCATTTTATTTTAATATGTGGAAATTACCGATTCGTTTGATGTATGTATTGACTTGTTGTTTGTTACTAACAATTTTCTCCTTGAATGAAGCAGTCACGGGGGTGGTAAAAACTGTAACCATTTGAGTTCCGTAAATGTCTTCGACATTCAACTGTAGGCTCGAAACCCCGAAACCAGGGGCGGGTTATCTATCTTGCAGGAGCGGGATTACGCTAATCACAGTTCTTCAGTTTAGAATCTATGTGCGATAAATGAGTGGCGATTCAATAATTTCCACATATCTTGTTTTTAGTTAATTTGCCTACAAAGCCATGTAATTTTCCATCTTGCTTTTAACAAAAGGACTTTATTGCACCAAAAATGAGTCACATCCTGTGTATTTTACCCTTTCTTAGAATCTTGGTACCTGCTTACCTGACCCATAATTCCCAAAACTTGTTTTTAACCTATGTTACCTCTTGAAGTTTACCTACTACTTTTTGTGATGTTCTAATTTTATGTTACGCATTCACATCATTACAAACAATTAATTTTACAACACAATTTCATATTAATTTGACGGATGGTTTTTTTTATTGGTAAGTTCTTTTTTTTCCCAGCCTATTTCTATTTTTATTCGGTGAACTACCATTTTAAAAGTTTATTTTTACAATGTATATTATTTCGACTTAAATTTCCGAGCTTTTACAATCATAATAATTACGATCATTATTAAACAAACTTTTCACAATTTGAGTGTTTTATTTTACGTTCCTTCCCTACTGTGCTTCAGGTCAAAGCGGTGTTTACAACTAACGTAAGGAGGTCCTGCCTTTGATATCTTATCACGTGCCACTTTTCAAATTTAAGCGGGATCTAGTTTAGTTTTGGAGGGAATTGTCATTCGGGTGGCCATTTTTAAACGTTACCGGGTTGACTTTATTTCCGTGTTCTTGTACTGTGAAGTTAGCGTAGAACCTGGGGGGTTAAGTACACTACAGATGGCTGTTATCTCTCGGCGACGGAATAATTTTTCTCGGCTGATGTTAAGGTTCGACTGGCATAAGCTATCATCTCTCCATCAATTTTCTGGGTGAAGTGAAGTCCTGTGTTGGAGGCATCGGTTTGTAAAACGAACGATCGGTCAAAGTTGGCACAAACCAGAATCGGTGCGTTTGTTAGACGATTCTTGAGAGGTTGGAAAGCTTGATCTTGTTCCTCGCCCGAACTCCGCCATTTTTTATTTTTTCGGAGTTTGATCAGTGGGGCTGCGATGTTAAAAAAATTCGAGCCTAAACGGCGGTACCAAAATGCCACCCTAAGAAATCTTCTGACGGTTCTCATGTTGTGTCGGTAGGTAATTGTTCGATGGCGGCTGCTTTATCTGGATCGATTTGGAGACCTCCATCGCTCACAAGGTGGCTCAAATATTTCAAATACTGACGGCAAAATTGGCACTTTTCGGGGTTGATTTTCAGACTGCCCAACGGAAAACGTCCTTAAATTTTCCAACGTACTCCCCCACACGAAGATGTCGTCCAAGTAGGCGAACGCTCGTGGCTGCATTTCTGAATCAATCTCACGATTGAAAAGACACTGGAACGTGGCAGGTGCGGAATGTAACCCACAAGGCATGACTTCAAACGGAAGTCATCTGATGGTGAAAGCGGTGACGGGTCAGCGGTATCTGTCAATACTCCTGTTTCAGGTCGATGCTCGAGATATAACGGGCTTGTGGGGGTCCAAAATACCATTTATGGACGGTAACGGATAGGCATCTTTAATGGTAACTTCGTTGACTTTACGGAAATCAATACAACCTCTTATTTCTTTCGGACCACGACAATCGGCGAACTCCACGGAGTTTCAGACGGTTCTATGATATATTCGGCCAATGAGTACTTTATAACCCAAACCAGGAGCATGATGGACTAAGTGAGGAATTTCGGTGTGGATATTTACTGGTTGGTTGGCAATGGTTTTGACTTTGTTTCGGCGGTCGGACGACATCGGAAACTAAAGTAGCGACACGTTTGTTAATAAATGAAATGGAGGATCCGGTGTCGATCAAAGCGGTAAACGGTTGGCCATGAATGTGAACTTTAGTAAGCGGTCGGGCCAGCAACCGAGGGAGATTACCAGAATTACGGACGGTTGGGCGGATTTTGGTTCTGACACCCACATGCAGGCGGTCTGGAAGATGTGGTAACATAATCTAACGAACCTTATACTGGTACGAAGCGGCGGCGTATTACTGGTTTCGTGACCATTACGGTAGCGGGTAGACAGTTTAGATACGGTTTCGGTGAGAATCGGTACGGTTCGGTTTCGGTCACGAGCTGGATCTTGTGACTCGCCACTACTTAACGGAACAGAGTGAACCGGGACGATACAGCCTGACGGGCTTCTCACTACAAATCCTCATAGTTTTTAACGGCCTGAGTAAACCCAATTACGGTTCGGTAATCGGTACGGTGGATAAACGGTATTTCGGTAGCAAATTATGGCGTAATCAGTAAAATTCTTGTTCAGGGGACATACATATAACTTGTAGTTTTAAAACATCTTAAAAGCCCTAGGAAGTACCTAAAAACGTCTGCTAGACACTTTACGCTGGCAACTCGAAAGCCGCATACCTTGCCCTTTCAGTAAAAAAAACCAAGGAGAAAACAACACTTTATTTATGAAACTAGCACAGCACAATTAAATATTCAGTCTTTTATGTCCCCGAATTCGACAGCCCAGAGTTATTTGTGCTTCACACTCGCATTTTAGCTGATGCAAATGTTCCTTAATTGGCAAAATTAATGTCCCTAGAAGCTCCTCGATTGTATGCGGAAAAAAGTAGGTTTGTAGGTGAGTTTTTACAAAGTTTTCCAACGAAGATATCTCTGTGTGCAAACTAAAAAGCAATATTCTATGTGTCAGGTATTTAATGTTTTGGAAGATTTCTTTTAAAATGTGTATATCTCTAGATTTAATTGTGACAATTGATCATACTTACTCTACTAAAACTGGCAGAATGCTTTCGATTTGCATCGGATTCGTGTAATTGTTTAACACCTGCCACTGATTGAACCACGTATTCATCCTAAAACCCACGCAATGATCACCACGTTTGAGCAAAAACAACATACTGATCACTATCGATAATATTACGGTATTTCAATCGAACGTGAACGAACCACTCGAACCCCACCAGTATTTGCCATCCCGGAAAATTTAAGGGAGTCGTATAATCGAGGAGAGGTCGATGGATGACGTCCGCTTGTAAGGGATTGTCCACGTAACCGAGCATTTTACTCACTGAACTGCAAGGTTTGCGCAAAATTACAAATTCAATTTTTCGAACGAACCGTTTACCTGTAGATCTCCGCCGTACTACTACCCGACAACCAAGTTTTCAGGCACAGGCATAGCGAGGGTATCGAGCACGGTAGTAATTCGCATAATGTGGCGTAGTGGTCAAATCTGAAATCAGTCTATTATACAGAACAGTGCAATCGCGCACATCTTCCTTTCATTAAAGGTTCTTGTATGCCTATGGCCAACTCGGGAATCTAAGAAGTAGAATATTCACTAACATTAACTCTGACGTTACAAACTATCACGGGCCGCTCATGATTTATATACACTGCCCCATATAGTTTTGAGGTGTCGTGCGAACTCGCGTGCGAATGTTCCAAAAGGCAAAAAAAGGAAAAGAATTTTGATTCGGCTCAAGAAAACACCAATATATTGATAGTCTCTTTTTTCGTCAATCTCATCGTATAGGTTGGTAAAAATGCTGCGAGTTTGTAATCATAATTCTGAATTCAGAGAATGGAGATCTACTCCTGCCTTATGAGAAAGCAAAAAGAACGTGTGCGTTTTGCTTTCGGCTGCATATGTCGACAATTGAATGAAATTTTCAAACAGACTTATCTACATATCATAGTCGACCCATACTAATTTATGACGTCAAAATAAAGTAAGCTATTTACACCTATGAAGGTACTGAACAAATTAGTATCGATATCTCTGCAAATGTAGCAACGATTACTTGAAAGTAAACTAATTAAGGGGAGTCATCAGCATATAAACTTCTTAAAAAGCGGTATTTAGCCCAAATATCTTTTAAAATTACTTTACGATTGAACTATACATCTCATCTCTTGCAACATTCATTTAGACAGCTCTTTTGTGAAAGAAAGATATAATAGGTGATACATTAAAAAAACCCATGGCTTACCTGGACCATCCTGTAAAAGTAATTCCACGCAAATTCGTTATTTTGCTCGCATGTAAAGAAAGATCAGACAACCACGCCTCATGATTACTAACATGATGTTTGTGTATCGGGACAACTTGGCAACTACTTGTAGCCCCTTTAAAAGCGCTAGCAACCCATATATTTGGAAATATATTCCCGTACTTATCCCAAAGGGACGCGCCCAAGCGAAAGGTTTCCGAATTATTATAATGCCAAACCATCGGCTCGACCAATGATCCGACGTAATACTCTACAACCTAACAAATTCACAACGAGTCAGATAAGGAGTGCAAAAAAAGAAACCTTGCAAGACATTGGCATCGATGCTGCGCAACATATCGTCCCAAACGATCACTTTCAAATGCGGAAAGTTCTCCTTGATATGCTGCGCGACTTCGGTGATATGGTCTAGATAAATCGACGCCTTGCCGTGCTTCGCGGTGAGCAGCCTCTTCGAACAAGTCGCGCACAATCCCAAGTGCCAAACCTGCGAAGATGCCAAACACACATTCCTAGCCTTACCAGGTGGCCAAATAAGAATAGAAGACTGCTATATTTCATCCTTGATTAGTCCAAACTCAAACATGAAATTGTCAGATTCAGTGAAATCCCAATTTAATTGAGAAAATGGTTAAATGTTATGATAGAAAAAACGAAAATCGGCTCTGTTTGCAGCCAAGAAAAATGCGCATGCGCCGACCCAGCTTGCTAATCTATGGACCGATTTTTTTGACATGTTATGGGAAGGTGCTTAACCAAATTAAATTCATGTATCACAAAATGAATTGCACATAATTTTCTTATTTGTAGACAATATTAAGTGAAAATCATTCTTATAAAACGATTTGAAAATACGTCACGAAAATGGGTTGCGCATGCGCAGTCAATTTTCTAATTTATGGGTAGATTTTTCAGAACTTCTCAGCGAAGGTGTTTCCGAAAAAAATAAATTAAATGCGCAGACTAAAAGACAATTATTACGCATGTGCAGATTGACATTTCTGAATAGGAGCATCCCGTCTTCATTTTTCATTTCTGATCTGCAAAGTAGGTACATTCAAAATAAACAGATCCGTGTATCCTCAATTTTTATTTACGAATAAAATAAACCCAAAATAAATTATTGAAAAGCTGTGTTTTTAGTCCGAATTTGAAACGCTTCAGTCTAAATACGTCACAAACCAACAACCAATCACGTAAAGATGAGCTGGCAACCTTCTAAATACGTCACAAACCTACAACCAATCACGTAAAGATGAGCTGGCAACCTTGTGCGAAGTCCAAAACACCTACGCAAAACTTGCAGATGATTGGTCAGGCTTATTTCGTCACAGAGCTCGAATCATCTCGTTTTGAATAAACACCTGATACAGCACATTTTCATTATTTTTTTTCTAATCAGTCCCTATTTTTAAATACACTTTTACTGTCCAAAAAATGGTTCTATGATTTCGGGTATACGCTTATTAAATTAAAATACGGAGTTCAACTATACTGTAAACCGGGTAAACCCCTATTTTGACCATAACACCCAGCAAGACTTCAAAATGCTCTTCCCAGAAAAAGATCTACAGTCTTGACAAAATTACTAGTCTGAGCCCTTCTAGCATACTCGGTAATAAAAGCTAGTTGAAAAAGTAGAACCTTATTGGCTCAAATTTATCAACCTTTAATTATGTAATGAGCTAATCCAAAATTCTGAGATACAGCAGCCTATCAGTCTTATTTCACCACCCATACCATGACAAGTTACCTCATCCGCCCCGATATGTATGTACTGCAAGTTCGAATGAAACGCTATCATCTGCTTTACCATTGTCCGAATGAGCGCCATAGTTTCGCCGTGACTCGGACAAATTGAGCTCGGATAGGCTTCGACCTCGCGCAGATGGCGCCACTGAACGTGTTTCAGTACATACTCCAAATGACCGAACGTTTGTATTAAAGGTACGACGGTCAATCCACAATCGGCAGCTGTAACACTTTACCTCAAATCTGCGGTGTGAACGGAGACATACCTAACTCCAGCAGCTGCTTGGCCTCTTCGATGGTATAAGGTGCGCAGCTAGTTTGTGCGCTATTCGATAATCCGCCGATGTGGATTAGTTCCTGCAGAAATGGAAAGGTATCTTCCCACTCGATTAGCAGGCCGGTAGCTCCGAGTTCTTTTACGAATGGGAAGAACTAATAAAGAAGTGTCTGCATTGAAATTGATTAATTGCAAAGGTTACCTTTTCAAAGTAGGCCAATTTTGGAGGTGCTCCTTTTAAATCTAGGTGGATTAATCTACAACAATTTTAAGATGTGGATTTCTCAAAATGAGAAGGATTACCTCTGTATTCCAAAAGTTAAGGTATCCATTTCTTATCAAAATAAAGGGATAATAACCTCACTTCATCACCAAATGTTTGTCAACAAAGAACAGAATAACAACGTTGCCATATTACGCGACAGTAATGTATCGAGTACAGAGTGATTCGTAAAGATCGTCGTTTAGGAACCAACATTGTCAGTATCACTATAGAACGACAAATTCAGTATAAACCAACGAAAAAAAACAAGTATTTCGTTGGTAATTATTAAATTTTAGTAGTAAATAAAGTAATACATAATAACTCACAACATATTATAAACATATACCTACGCATTTTACTTTAATGAATGTGCGCGCTCGTTCTAGTTTACCTCGCGAACCGAAAAGCGCGTTACAGTTGTTTAAATTTCAATTAGCAATGATAACTATTCCTATTAACTGTAACGTTTGATATTGCAAATTTTTTATATACATTGTAATTAATAATAATAATAATTGCACTTTATTGACTGAATATATGTAGAATACAAAAAAAAGACGTATATATAATGTGTAAGTAAACAATCTCAGCCAAAAAGATCAATTCGCCTAAATGCAGAAAGGTCTGCATCAAAGCGTTCTACCATTGACCTTGACAAACGAAAAAAAAAAATAAAAAAACGAAAAAAAACAATACACTCGAAAGTAAAGATAAAGAAACATGAACAAAAAAAAAAGAAACTGTTGACAGTAATTCATACTCGTCGTGTAGCCAACATGTGCGCTTTTATCGTTCTTTTCAGTGATGCCACGGAGCCTTGAAGTATGCCTGGTTCTGTTAAAATAAAGTTGACAGTTTTCACCCTATTGTAACTAAATGATCTTTTGAAGATTTCTTTGCGGTGCTTGGGTATCACTAGCAACTGACGATATCTACCACACAGTTGTTTTTTAGAACGGGAGGTAACTTTTGTGGCGAGATACTCTGGCGTTTTCATTTCAAAAATTCGCCAGTAGAATACAGCTGAATGAACAGATCGTCTCTCTTCCATGCATAAAATATTATTGTTGCGTAGAGTTGCGAATTCAAAAATATATATTCAGGTACCATCCCAAACAATATATTTCTGCCTTCGACCAATTTGTTTCAGATTTTGATTAAATTTGTCCTCTCCTAGGGAGCCCAATTATGATTTCTTAGTACATGGTGTGCTCCGATGGCAAAACCGGCTAGGTCTGCACATCTTATGCCGTTTTTAGTGGGCGCATTTTAAAAATTTAAAATAGAAACCCGAATACGTGATTGTCAAAATTATGCATCTGGAGAAATAAAAGATACCAACATAATATCAAACGCAACAGCATAAATTCCGAACAGGTGCAGAATTAATATTTGGATGAATTCTCTTTAACTTTATTGACTCTCTTTACTCAGAGAGTCAGAGTATACATAAATCGCAACAAGATCAGATCACCCAAAAACATTGAAAATAGATCGGTGCTTTTTAGAACCACGATACATTACATTTGAACGAATATTAGCATAATCTGCGAATCTAAATTCTCTTACGCACTTACACGAAGTAGCAATGTTCGGATGCTCCTTTGAAACGTCGCATTCAAAACTGTTTGATCACTTTTATTCGTAAATACATTACCTATAGCACATATGCAATTCGTGAAATTGTGATCACTTTCACTTCAGACCAAGAATTGCAGTGGAATTTTTTTTTCAAATTTTCAAAAATCAATAGCAGATTCAGCATTTCCAAATTTCATCGAATTTTTTTCTCAATCCCATATTGGAGCAGGAATTTTACAAATTCCTTTAAATGTAACTTCCAAACAAAACATTTGCGACCCTCAGTTTATATGAGAATTGTTTTTGTTCGCTTTATCACTTATGATCCGATATTTTTTTTGGGACAATTCAAATGGAGCACCCTGTGAGAGTACATACAACAGGGGCCCTACTTCTGTCAGTAGTTCTACTGTACACTTGATCCTTGGTAGTGCTAAGACATTGCAGAGGATGTATACGAACTACTGTGATTTCTTGACCTAATTTTTATTTATTTGGGGTTTTTGAAGGTCTGTGCTCTTTTTATGGTTTTTGTCTTATATTCCCTACAGTTCTTGTTTTCCCAATTTCGGCAAAGATATGCTCACGGCCATTGGCAGCGCATATATTCACGGAATTGTTAAATATGAACCACAGGATGACATAGAAACCAGTTTATCTCGTACTGAAATTGATGGAGAAATCAAACAGTTGGGATTTGTCCCTGACGATTCACAGGACTGTTTGCCTATCGAACCGGATTTAGATGTAAAGGAAGAGTATAATTGTTATCCTCAAGTAAAGGAAGAGAAGAACATTGTGACTCGAGTAGCTTCACCAGTTAGTCTTGATACAACTCCTCTTATTACTACACATGTTTCTGTTACAGCATCAGAAGATGGCAAGAGGAATGTGTTACCTTTTGATGTAGATAAGGACATTACAAAGGGTAACTTAGATGAGAGTTCAATCGAGTACAAATGTCAGCAATGCGACTACAACGCAACAAAAAAACGAAATTTGGGTTACCACATGAGAGCGCATCACGGTTTGAAAGAGTTTAAGTGCAAACAGTGCAGCTTTACCACAAAATGGAAATCTAATTTAGGTAAACACACGAAAGGTTTTCATGGTTCGGAGAAATTTATTTGCTATCACTGCAACTTCTCTACTAAGTGGAAACCAAATTTAATCGAACACATCCAATCGTTCCATTGTTCGAAAAACTGTGTTCGTCAACAATACAACTGTATCAATAGAGGAAAAAGCAATTTAATTCGATATGAGGCAGGATGTTGTGGGAAAGATTTTGAGTGTCGGATATGCAGCTTTACCACGAATAGGAAATTGGAATTAGTCGATCATGTAAAAGAATATCATAGTGTCACCGAGTGTTACAAATGTGAACGGTGCAGTTTTACTTGTAAATTGAGGCAACATTTAACCAAACATCTTAATCGGCGGCATGGTGTAGAACAATTTCGGTGTCAACAGTGCAACTATGCCACAAAGGCAAAGAGATACTTAAGCCGGCATGTGAAAAGACATCATTGTTTGGGAAAGTTTAAGTGTCAACAGTGCAATTTTGTGACACATACGAATAGGTATTTAGTTAGACATGTGAAACGGTCTCATGCGTAGAATGAATTTTATTCCGAACTGTGTAATTAAGGTATTCTGTTTCAAAATAGGGAGATGCTCTCAATGAAAAGGAATAATGTTTGAAGTTACTACGTCACAGGATCCCTCGCAGTATCCTTACCAATGACTTCAAACTACTGACAAACGTAAATTTAATTACGTGATTTATTTATATAAAATAATAAATGTTCACAGGAACCTTAATAAATAGATTGATTTATAACAATTCAATATATATTACTCACGCAGTCAGTTTTTGTCTTTTATAACAATTTTTAACATGAGTGTGAATTTCATTATTTATCACTTCGACATGGATGCCAAAACTAAGAGTAAACACAATTCAATTTGTCTGTTGGTTTTTGAAACACAAACACATGATCCCAAAGGTGATATCGTAACATAACTTGGACTACATTTAACTGGTCTGATGTAAATTGCAGTTTGTCAACTGTCAAGTAATACTTTATACATCTGAACAGGATCAGAGATGTTTTCATCTTTTATGTATTTAAGAAAATGGTGAATTTCATCCTTAAAATAGTGAATATATTATGCTTCACCATGAGGTAGGCAGGTAGGGAGAGCGAGAGAGAGGTCATGTAAATAAATAATAAATATACCGCATGCTGCAAACACAAAATATAATTCCTATATGTTAATACGGTTAAATATGTAGCAATTTTGTACCTACATATTAGCATAAATCATGTGATATTAGGTGAATCCATCTCTATCCTGATTTAGGTTAATAAATCATTTCAATGAATCAATACAATTAACAATCAAACATAATTTACTTACTTACTTCGCCTTATATTTGTTGTAAAGTAAACGTAAACACAAATTCACAATAACTGCACAATAAATTGAGTAATTATCACTATTGGTAAGCTTAAAGAACCAAATTGAACACAGTAGCTGATGTTAGTGATGTTTATTGTGCATTTTTAGCACTTTTCATGAGCAGGTGTTACTACTTACATACTTTTAAGAAGTATTACTCATACGTACCCAGCTATTCTACAATATTTGCTTGCGTTGCACATTGCACTGTATCTTTGACATCGCAATTATTTGGAATCTAACAACAAGATTTTAGAGATTGTCACTAGTTTTTACTGTTATAAATTCCATTACGGACAACAAACAAGAATCAATTGCCCCCCGAAATTATTTCTTGGTGGCCCCAAGCGCGAGCTCATGGTGCGGTGAATCGCTGATTCATTTTTGCTGAACATATAATTCGGTGAATGATTCGTTCGCCAACAGGTGTAACATAAGTTGCTATATAATATATTATATATATTATTATACTTATATAATATTATATAGCATCCTTGGGTGTGATATTGTAGCTTGGACCTCTTCCTTCTACTGTAATAATTGAAACAGATATACCTACCTAAGTGTGGAATTGTAGAACGCACGTAAAAACCGACCGTTTCATCTTAATTAATTGTTAGTTAACAAGCTTCTGCAACACGTCGTTACAAAACCAGAATTGAAATGAACGCTCGTACTAAAAAGTTTAAGTACATTAAACAAGTATATACAGTGCTATTTATTAAGAAGTAGACATAGGGACTTATGTGTATTGAATTTCCCTATGTCTACTTTTAAATGACAGAAACTCCTCTGAAGGGCGCCTAATTTTATACAACCAAAATAACTTCTTAAAACATCTGGCTGAATATTGTTGCCGAGATTGTTGCTTTGGCTTCCGTATTTCTATTTCCGTTCGTGTGCAATGTATTCAACTTAAGAAAAGTTTGATATTGTCAATTGGTATAGTGACGGTCACCAGTTTAAGGAGCGTAAGAGATTTATTTTCTGTTAAACCAAACCTACAATATTCTAACTAATAATTAATATGACAGCCAGATGCTTATTTGTTTAAAAAAGTTATTTTGGATGCATAAAATTAGGCGCTCTTTGGAAGAGGTGTTGTCTTTTAAAGGTAGACATAGGGAAAAACAATTCACGTAAATCCCTATATCTACTTCTTAATAAATATCACTGTATATATTTAGAATGTTATATCACGTTCAAGTACTGAGGTACTTTTTTAAACCCAATTTAACGCTTATAGTGAAAATTGTTACTATTTCTTTTACTAACAGCTTATACAGTCTTAAAAAAATTTTCAGTATGGATTTGAACCATGGCCTTCGTTTGCGTCTCTCGTACTCCATTAATTAATAAATTACAATTTTTTCGTCACGACTCCTGTACCAATTTAATAACAACAAATCAGGGCCAACATGTTTCATGAGATCATTATGTAATATTATGCTGTTCGCTGACGATACTTCAAGAGAGCCAACCTTAGATTAATATTCTTTCCTTGTCTAAGGAGCCAACCAATACAAATAAATTATGTGTAAATGCAAACAACAATGTCATTATGTAAATTCGATGTATTCCTCAAGCAACCGAAAGTTAGGTTTCTAGGTTTACACCATTTGACTATAAACTAGCATGGAACAACCAAAAAACCGAAATTTGCCTTTTTTTTTAATTTGTCTGGTGTTATTTGAACAGATACAACAAAATAAAACAAGTTATAAAGTCATTATACAAACATAAATGACGAGAGCGTATTTTCCTCCTAATGCTTGGGCCGGGAAAAAATGTTGCCACGAGATCCTTGTCCCATTCTTTTTCAAATGGACCGCGGCCTATCGTCGAAGTTTATTAAGTTTCACACAAGTATAGTACTACACGAGTCAGTTTTTCATATAGTTAAATTGAATAGTACCAATAATAAATACATATATTGTCCTTATTTTAATACATATACCTAATATCAAGTTTTGAAAAACATTTTTCACGGTTGGATACCTATAGTAGTGGAGCGCATAAGAAAGTTGGCAGTGCGCATGCGCAAAACCAAATGTTGAAACTGGTGTTAAATTTGCTTTCCATCGTGCTTCTGTATCAAATTTCATTTAAATTCTTTCGTAAAGAAAGGTGGCGCTGCGCATGTGCAACTCAATATTTTGAAAACGTCGTTAGTTTCACTTATATTCGTAGTGTACATAAAGTTTCATTTAAACACATTCATAAATAAAAAAGTTAGCATTGCACATGCGTTAAGTATCAAATTTACACCGCGCATGCGCAAAATCAAAAATATCGTCACGCATGGAATCGTTGCAGCAAGCCCTTACAAGTGAGTCCCATATCCCCCAAATATATACGTATGACGGACAGACGGACGGATGTGCAACCAATAATAATTTTTCATTTTGCGGAAAATACGCTAAAAACAGTCAAACAGTCTGTATTCTGTATTGAGTAGCATTTTTTTAATTACGAATACAACAATGTATGATACAAAAAAAACTTAGAAGCTGTTTGGCTTTAAGAGAATGGTGCACCCGCGCACAACGACTTCAATCTTGTGAGTACCTACACCTACCGGACCCTGGGAAATGGAAGATATTTCCTGTTGAAACCAACAGTGTTGCCAAGTTTGTTTTTTTCTGCCGTACATCGTTGTGCTATTCGGTTCAAACTTTGCAGTTGATCTACATGTATGCCACATGTAATAAGCCTATTGAAAATGAGCCAAAAACATCTTGAAGTAACGATACCAGAGTCGTTGAAGTAGGCTGTTCGAGAGAAATCACACCGCTTATGCTTGGAGTGCAATTTAAAGTATCAACGTTTTTCGCACATCTTCTATGCACATTTCAAAATAAAATACCGACACATTATGACCAAAACAAAGGAAGGCGACAAACCTTTCGGACCTTACACACATTTGTATCCACATTACGCAATACGCTTTTTTTCCTACTATCTAACAAGGAAGTTGCTTTCATTAGCATTACATATCTTTCTCTTCTGCTTCTCGTATGATAATAAATGTTTGAGCAAGTGAAGATAAAAACGTTTTTAAAATTAAGCTTTCCTATTTCAGGATAATAAGGTTTAAAGCATCAACTTCCTTACCATTATTGCATTCATTCCTCGTAGACGGTATGCATCCGAAAGTTAACATCCTGTATATTACGCAATAATGGAAAGTGGACGCATAACGTGTTTAAACTACAGATGGCTCTTGGAGCGCAGCGAATATGAAGTAATCGAAAATGGCGACCAAGAAGAGCAAAAGTGCAGTGATGTGTTGACAAATAATTAACCGTTCTTGAAAATGTCCAGCACACCTGCAAACCGTAGAAACGGTGCGCAGAAAATAAGGTTAACCAGTAAGTAAATTCAGTATCAATTTCTATAACATTATACAGTTAGCCATTATTTCATTTTTATGTTATTATTTCGACCTATCACAAACAATATGACCTCAGTGGGGGTGCCTCCCATACACATCAATTAATCCACTAACGATTTAATTAAAATACTTCTACTTGTTACAGTCCTTTGTGCCCGGAACCTAGTTAGGAAGGATCTGTTTCGTAAGTATCGACCGCTACGGTACCAAGGAGTTAACGTGTCGCCTTTTAGGACTGCCGGATCCCTTCGCGAAAATATCGGTGGATGGCAGCGGTCAATGCCATTCAACTGAGACCGTTAAGAACACGACGGATCCCAAATGGAACTCCCACTACGACTTATATATTGGCAAAAATGATAATGTGACGATTTCGATTTGGAACCATAGGAAAATACACAAGAAGCAAGGAAGCGGGTTTTTAGGCTGTGTTCGTATCGTAAATTCCCTGATTCAAAGGCTTAAAGATACGGGATGTAAGTGAGATCAAAGATCATACTACACTAGATAGTCATTGTAAATGCAAGAGTTATTTCACATTTAGTTTTGTTATCTGACCCAGTAGTCGCACTGATTCAACATGGACGGTTCTTGATTATGACCTATTTATTTATTTACGAAGATTTGCAAGATAAAGCAATGGAATTGGGAAGGTTAAATTATCTGACAATGTTTTTAGAAAAGTCGTGGGAATACCTATTCATCTTGCTTGAATGTGATCAAAAGTACTGGGTGATTATTCGAATAATGTACCTGCATTCCCTGGTTTCCACAGCTTTCCATATGTGATGGACTTCACCTATTCTGTCTCTTTTCAAATACATTTCGTTCATCTGCTTTCTTTATCTTTTTTGCCTTCGTATGGCAGATATTTGTAATAATGTATTATATATAGTTATACTCGATTAGACCAAGACACATTCATCTAAAGCTCCAAAGTAAAAAAAATCACTTGTATTGTCACGTTGGCCGCACCTCTCGAGTTGTCCCCTTCACTCACTCGCTTTTCGTCACCCAAGCAGGTTGGACGGTAAAAGGAATTCACCTGAAATATTTTGGCACTTTTGATTATACTTGAAGTTGATGCTAACCTGCTTATTTTAAACGACACACCCTGTATATTTGATTTTCAGATTTTATGTACAGTTCTATATAGGTTTCATATGTAATGTCAAATTTAACTATTTTTTACAGTTTAATTTTTTAGCGCGTTTCCAACAAAGTTGGGTGCGCTATTGCAGCCACTTTCTCTGTCCGAGGCCTTAACTACTCCTACAGTTTTCAAGATATTTAGTTCGTTCTTTTTGCATTCAGTAGCGTATCGCTCTGGCACCTGAGCCAAGGAAAATCTTGACAATTAAACTGCACATGCGCAGACTGCGCAATGTCAACTTCCTTATTTATTAATAATATACATATTTTGTTGGAATTTTAACCACAGATGCTTCTGGTGAAAGCAAACATATCGCATATTGTAAACATCAGATTAATGCGCATCAATATCAACTGTTATTTATCGAGATATCTTTTTGAAATTTTAATCACAGATGCTTCTGTTAAAGGCAAACATAACTGATATTGCAGGAATTAGATGTGCGCATGCGTAGTCAGTGCCAACTTCTTTATTTATTAAGATATTTCTTTGAAATTTTAATCATAGATGCTTCTAGTAAAGAAAAACATATCACATGTAGTAAAAATCGAAAACTACAAATGTCATTAGGAAAAGTAAACATATTGCATATAGTAAAAATCAAATCCACGCATGCGCAGACTGCAAAACGCTTATAAAAATCTCTCTAAAGTTTAACCATAAACGCTTCTAGTAAAAACAAACATCGCATACCTATAGCATAGCGAACTGCGCAACGCCAACTTTTTTGTTTATGGAGATATTTCTTTGAAATTTTAACCATATATGCCTGTAGTAAAGAAAATCACAGCGTACATAGCCATGGCCTTTTGGGAAGTACTGATTATTCATGGAAAATGCGCTGAAATTACTCGCCTTAGGGCGAAAACCTTTTTACTTGTTTTTGTCAGTAATGATATAATAAATAAATGCAGGGGGTTCAAAAAGTATCATTAAATTATTCTTTCACTTGTGGAACACGGTTAAGTATTTTAAATCGTAACAAACATAGCGATAATTTCACATTAAATTTGTTACACTTTTTTGTACAGTGAAATGTAAATGGTAAAAAGAGGAGTTAAAATACTGACGCTAGTGTAGTTTTAAAATGCTTCAACGCCTACATGATGAAATTTGCTAAAAACGAGCGCTTCAAGAGATTGGTCCTTTGAGCCGAATCAAATTCCTTTTCACATATACCGATATCCACGAACATTTTCACAACGGTTAAGCAAATCAATCGGAAATTACCAAACAGTAAAGCGATAAAAACAAAAAAAAATTAACACCAGCTTTTAACCATCTAAAAATTCTTTTTCTAGTTACAAAAAAAGTTCGTATGGTTAAAGAGTGTTTTTTATTCTGTTTTTGACAATGACCCATAATCGATTCAAAAATAATAATAAACTTAATGTCTAACTTCAATAATAAAAAAGTTATCAACGCAATTCCCCCTAATTTGAAATATCCCAAAAACACAGATACAAATTCAAGTAAAATAAACTTTGTGTTTATTTCATAAACAATCCCCCAGATTTATTTAATAAATTGATATATATTCAAATATGGTGTTTAGACCGAAATAACGTCTACACGACGTTGATTAAATGAGTCACTAGATTGCAGAGTGAAAATTGTGGTGAATTATGAAAAAGTGTCTCTCTAGTGTCGCATGATCTTTGCTGAAATTTTCTTTAATCCGTTCTGTTTCTTCATTCACTATTTGCAGATCAACGTTTGGATCTGTGTAAAGCATCCCAAGATGATAGTGAGCCGGTTAAGGGACAGATTATAATTTCGTTGCTTTCACGCGACGGACCATGCGGCGGTACGCCGTTGGCAGTAGTGGGTCCGTTAGGCGAACTCAGAGGGCCGGCGAGTCGGGAATTGTCGCCGCAAGAAGACGAGCTGCCGCCAGGCTGGGAAGAGCGGCGCACGCCCAACGGTCGTTTGTACTATGTGAACCACATAACTTTAACGACTCAGTGGTTGAAACCGCACGTTTCCGCGAAGAATCGTGCGACACCTCGTAGCAATAATAATAATATAAATAATACAAATTTAAGCAATAATAATAGTGTCGATAATAATAGCGTTAATAATAATACGGACGAGGTGCAATCGCCGATAAGGCCGAGTTGTAGTACGTCGCCCGTAACCAATGGTGCAAATATTGAAAAGGATCAGACGAGTCCGCTGCGTACCGGATCCTCCTCGCCCAGTGACGGTTTCTCTCAACCGTTAAATTTTCTATCTGGTACGGTCGTTCCGGCACCTAACAACATTAGTTGTAACGTCCCTAATTTGTCCAATTCAGAGAATACGAATGGACGGTCGAAGGATCGGAGACAACGCAGTTTGGAGGAAAGACGCGGCGGCGACAGCGGAGGTCGACGTCGATCCGCACGCAATCGCGCATCGTTAAATGGCGTCCAAATTGCGGCGCTTCAAGGACAGCTAGTCGGTGATCCAAATAAATTAGATTTGCCCGTCGGTTACGGTGAATAACGCTCGATGTCTTCTACATTTGCGTTACGAATTTATTTTAGAGTTGCGGACGACACAGCAGGGCCAAGTGTATTTTTATCATATTCCGACTGGTGTGTCAACATGGCACGATCCACGAATACCCAAAGATTTGGCGTCGCGGGGATTTGCTCTGGATCAGTTGGGACAGTTACCTACCGGTTGGGAAATGAGGCAGACATCATCAGGAAGAGTAAGTATATGAGCAGAAGCTATATTAAAATTCATTGTACATTGCAGTATACAGGGTGTTTACAAACAGTTGTTAACGTAAACTGTAGTTTACTGTCATTAGTCGTCGAAATAGAATTTATTGGTGCAAACGAAAAGCCATTTATATGTTCTGTTGTTTTTAATTGCAACGATTTTTTTTAATTAATAATAATTTTTTTAATTTTAACCCTCACTAAGTGTAAATTCGGCCAAAGATATGATTTAATCTCATTTTTTGGATTTGTAGTACGGCAAAAGGTATTGTAGCGAATATTCTAGAAATACCAAGACATCGAAGCGCCATGAAAAATTAGTCATTAGCGATAAAAAGCTAAGGTGGATATTACGCATCCTTTCCAGGAAATATGTGTTTGTTCGGGAGTAGTTGAAACCATTCTAAAAAGATTATTTTTTATTTTATTGCCTTTATTTTATAGTGGGCGGAGTGTTAGCAATTTGGTTGCTATAGGCAAATCGAATTGTTTCGAGTTCGTTACAACGTTGATGCTGATAGTGAATATTAGTGATAAATAGGTAAATAGGTCGGGCTGGTGTTATGTTATAAATTATGAGTGATACAATTTACTGTTATAAATTAATCCATTTCAAGACTGTTATAAATTTTTTGTTTAATATAGATACCTATAATTGTTTTTAATTACGCAAATAAATAAATCACTTAATTAGATTTACGTACAGTATTAAAAATACATAATTGCTGAAAAATTCTTTATTTTATTTGATGGGATTTAAAAAAATCAAAAAAGAAACACGAAGAAAAAAAAATTAAGAATTAGACAAACTTGAATAAGGACCAATCTGAAGGATATTAAAAAAACTTAAAATCAGGCGGAAATAAGGAGTTGAAAGAGTCGGAAAAATTTGTAAAAATTTAAAAAATCGCATAACAGGAAGAATTTGACAAACAAATTCAGAATGAAATCGCATGAGATTTGAAAAGGTCAAGAATGCGAAGAACCTGAAAAAACAAAAGAATGAAAAAATCTGAATAAGTTGGGCGATTTGTGGAATCTAACAAACTTGAAGAATTTGAATAAACAAATAAACCAAAAGAGTTTTAAAAATCAGATGGAAATAAAGAATTTGAAGAGTGGAAGAATTTGATGAAAAATTGCACAATAGGAGCAATTTAAAAAAAGCCGGAAAATTTAAAAATTTAGAATACTTAATACATGTATTTAAAGAATTCGAAAAAAGCGTTGGAGGAAAGCGAAGAATCGGAAGGATATTCCTAATTTACTGGATCTAAAGAATTTGAAAAATTAAAAGAAAAGTACAAAGAACCTGAAACAATTAAAGAAATGGAGATTCAAAATCTTCTTCAGAATCTGATCTTAAGAATTTGAAGAAATCTGGGCGATCTTAAAAATCCTAAGCATACAAAGAAACCTGAGATTGATGAATGGAAAGAATTTGAAGAATAAGAATTGGAGAATTTGAAAAATCGAAAGAATTCAATGAATTTGGACCATAAAACCTTAAAACCTATGGAAACATTCGAAAAAATTGGAAATTAGATCAATTTTAAGGATCCTAAAGATCTGAAGGATCTGCAAAACGTGAAAGATCTAAACAAAAATTGCAGAATTAGGAAAAATTAAAACATCTGAAAAAGTGAATGAAAAGGACCTATCCAACTAACCAAAATTCCACAAAAAGGAATTTTTCTATTTCGGTGTCACAATGATGATTTTGTACAACTGTTTTCAGTTGTACAAAGACAATGATTATAGTCGTTTTTTTTTGGTAACTCATCTCTTAAGTTGGCAGTTACTAGTTAGTACAAGTAGGTACTTCGTTGGGTACTTGGTTTGAACTTCAAAATGTCAGTCCTTACTACGCTGCCAACCTAAAACTTAACGGCATAAAAAGCGTTCCCAACATAAAACATGTTAGTTCTAATGTTCCCTATAGTTTCTTAATGTTCTAATAGTTCCCTATAGTTTCTTCGCGTCGCCACTCGTGCCACGAGATAGTCGTATTACAATAGGTCGCATTGTAACACTTGTCTTTCAATATACTATTGAAGGACCAGGAAAATCCAAATAATCTAAAAAAATCAGGAACACCACAAGGATTTGAAGGGCGTTTAGAATCTCAGAAAAATGATCTCATGGCCCAGTATTGAAAAATCCGAAAAGTCTTAAAGATCTGACGAAAATAACGAATTTGAATTCGAAGAAATTGAGAAAAATTGGAGGACACTTGAAAAAACAGAAATCCAAAGGGTTTATTAATTAGATGGGAGTTGGAATTTGGCAGCATCGAAAGAAATTGAAAAAATCGCACAATTGAAGAAATTTCAAAAAAAGAAAAATTCAAATGATCTTAAAAACTTGATGCGTTCGTTTGAACAATTTGAATAAAAGCATTGGAAGATAGCGAAAAATCTTCAGAATCTGCTTATATTTCCATTATCATCATATACAGAACCCGTGCTACAAATCAATATAAAACTGAAAATTCTGAATTTAATTTAGACGTCAATACTAGCAAGCTTAGGTTCTTTCGTCGTTTCCATGAAAACATTATTGTTTCTTGTTCGGAACTTTATTTTATTTCGTGCTCCGCGTCCCATTGTGAATAAGAATGACAGATGTCATTAGAATGCACAATCATTTGTTTCACTTTATCTACCCTTACTGTTAGATTTAAAGAATTTGAACAATTCCAAGAAAGTAAAAGGAATGTGAAGAAATAGAAGAATTCCAAATGTCTTAAAAATCAAATGAAAATAATTAATTTTATCAAAGGAATTTGGAAAAAAAACAAAATTTAAATGATGGTGAAAATGCGTATTCACTGACGAATTCGATTAAAAAAAGCATTTAACGGAATTGAAGAATGGGAAAGATCTTTAGAATCTTATGGATCTAAATAATTGGAAAAATCGCACAAAAGCGAAAATTTTGAAAAATCCAAATGGTCTTGAAAACTGATACGTATACCTAAAGAATTAAAAAAAAACATTGCAAGAACTGGAGGATTCAGAATAATCTTCAGAACCTGATCACTATAGAATTCTAAAAATCACACAATCGGAGGAATTCAAAAAACAGAAAAATTAAAATGATTTTGAAAGTCTAATACGTATATCTTAAGAATTAAAAAAATCATTGAAGAATTCGTAGAATTGGACGGATCTAAAGAATGTGAAATCGCACAAACGGAGGAATCTGAAAAAACAGAAAAATTCAAAGAACCTGAAAAAACTAAAGAATCTGCAAAATCTGAATAAGCTGAGCAATCTGAAGAATTTGGAGAAACATAAGAAACTAAAGGCTTTAAAATTTGAAGGAAATAAAGAACTGGAAGAAATTAAAGGAAATTTCCACCATCGGGGGAGTTGAAAAAAAGTATCACAATCATAAGCATCTCAAGGATGGAAGAATGGCAAGAATTTGGAGAAAAAGGGAAAGAATATTAAAATTCGTATGCATGTGAAGAATCTAAAAAATTGGCAGAATTTAGAGAATATCTAGAAATTTTAAGAATCTGAAAAATCAAAAAAAATGGAAGGATTTTGAAAAATTGACGAATCTGAAAAACTGCAACTGATTAATGAGAAGCATATAGAGTTGGAAAAATGGAAAAGTCTGAATATGAACAAACAAAAGAACATATCTGAATAACCAAAAAATCTGAAAATGGTCGGAAAAGTCCAAATAATCTGAAGAATATCATAAGAATTTGAATGGCGTGAAAATGAAATGTATGAGGTATAAGAAGAAATGGAATGGAACAATTAAAAAAATCAGAACAGCGCAATATTCAATGTAGCATATTTTTTTATTTATTCTAAACCTTCAAGAGATTCATTTTTGCGAAAGAAACGCTTAAAAATTAGATTTGGATTGGTTGGTTGAGGTTAGACCACAGTATTTATAATATTGGCGCCCAACGTGGGGCTATTTATCAATATTGATTTGATATTTAGAATGACCCATATTTTTTGGGTGGAAATCTGTCGCACAATCGCAATCAGCATATAGGAAGCTGACTTCGTTTTCTTATAGGTATATTTTGTAGACCACAACAACAGAACGACCCAATTTACAGACCCGCGATTAAATGCGCAAATACTAAGCAGCATATTACAAAGACAGACGGCCCCGCCCGTTGTTACCACCGCTACAACTTCAACTCCAACCCCAACAACTAGTCAAAGTACTCCTAGCACCAGCAGCAGTAGCAGCACACCACCAGCCACTTCCACAACCAACTCAGTCACTACACAGCCCACGCCCGCCGCCGTTCCTTCAACATCGCGAACGCGTCCGGACAACAGCGACTTACCGCAAGGGTTACTGAACGACAGCGAACTGTTGCCGAAGTATAGGCGCGATCTGGTCGGCAAACTCCGCGCTTTGCGTGCGGAATTGAACGCCTTACAACCGCAAAGCGGCCACTGTCGTTTGGAGGTGTCGCGCGCTGAAGTTTTCGAAGAGAGTTATAGGTACAGTATCTTTACGTACCGAGCGCCACGAATAAACGCATTGCTTTCAGACTAATAATGAAAATGAGGGCGAAGGACATGCGAAAACGACTCATGGTAAAGTTCCGCGGCGAAGAGGGTCTAGATTACGGCGGCGTCGCGCGGGAGTGGTTGCATCTACTGTCCAGGGAGATGCTAAATCCCCAGTACGGGTTATTTCAGTACAGCCGAGAGGATCACTACACGTTGCAAATTAATCCGGACTCTTCAGTCAACCCTGAGCACCTGTCTTATTTCCATTTTGTAGGGCGCGTGCTCGGCATTGCGGTGTTTCACAATCACCAATTGGAAGGCGGCTTTACGACACCGTTCTATAAGCAGTTATTAAATAAGCCGATAACGTTGCAAGATATAGAGGGTGTCGATCCCGAGCTGCACAGAAGCTTGACCTGGATGCTGTAAGTATTCTACTAAGCTATTGGATTGTAGTGCAGTTTACACACTAAAAAATTATAATTTAATTAAAACCATAATAAAATTTCAAGTTCTCCTGCACTGGCGCCGTCTATTAGTTATATTGTGATTTAAAATGGCGGGAAACAGAAAAATTGTGTTTTACTTCTTTCTGTACACTTTCTTGGAAATTATACAAACTTTGTCAACAACCAAAAATGTGCTTTTGTGTGCAATTGCATGCGGTGCGGTGTGGCTCTCCACAAAACACCTTTCAGCTACTTCAAAACAAAATAACCGTTAAATTTGGAATTGTATTTCCTCGTAGACGTAATCGGATAGCTCGCATTAAGCTTCTTACACCACTTTGGTTAACTAGCTTCTGCACACTTTATTTCCTTACCGGCAAATTACGTTTCGACATACACAGGCTGACTGCCCAAAAAAAATTCGCGTAAAAAACGCTATACGCGCACGTATACATATTTTCCAATTAAAATTAATGAGCCAATGTTTTAGGGAGAATAACATTACTGGGGTGTTCGATACAACATTTTCCGTCGAGAACAACAGCTTCGGCGTGATTAAGGTTCACGAGTTGAAGCCGAACGGTGCTAGCATAGCGGTGACCGAGGAGAACAAGCGCGAATACGTCAAGCTGTACGTTAACTATCGATTTATGCGCGGAATCGAGCAGCAGTTCCTCGCGCTTCAGAAGGGTTTCATCGAACTCATTCCGAGCGCGTTGCTGCGGCCGTTCGACGAACGCGAGCTCGAGCTGGTGATTAGCGGCATCGGTTCCATCGACATCGCCGACTGGCGCTCGAACACCCGCCTAAAGCATTGTACGCCGGAAACTCCGGTCGTCCAATGGTTTTGGCAGGTGGTCGACTCGTATTCCGAAGAGATGCGCGCCAGGCTGTTGCAGTTCGTGACGGGCTCGTCACGCGTGCCGCTTCAGGGGTTTAAGGCGCTCCAAGGTAGTACAGGTGCAGCTGGACCACGACTTTTCACAATACATTGTGTCGACGTGTCACCACAAAATTTACCTAAGGCACACACGTGCTTTAACCGGATAGATATTCCGCCTTACGATACATATCAAGTGCTTTGTGATAAACTGACGCAGGCTGTTGAGGAAACGTGTGGTTTTGCTGTCGAATGATAAAATATTTTTGGGTTTTGGTTGGGGGTTTAAAACATTATTTTTATTGACAAGATTTATTTGCATACGTATCATCCCTTCACATTCCTCAAGGTAGACAAGAAAAAGTTATTTTAAGTTTGCAATACTGTAATATAGAAACAATTGAAGAAAGTTAGGTTAGGACAAAGGTCAATAACGTAATATAATAATCATAAAGTTGGCTTTGCTCAATGTTTTCATATAATTTCATAAACCAATGAGAATTTACCTCCAAGCATCTACCTTGAGGAGCGTCACAAACGGTTTAGCAATACAGGTATCACGCATCCATTTTATGTTTTAATTAAAAATCTACTAATATTTTTAGAGTTCTAACAATAATTGTGAAACCTGTAGTGCCAATTAGCATTTTATTTATGAAATTTTAAAAAAACCTATTTCAGTATTTTATGCCCCTACAAAAAAATTCTTTATCAAATACAAGTGTTCTTATTTCATACTCATCTCCCTTGGTTTCGTGTGGATTTTTGTATATAAATAGTTGATTATATTCTTATACGTGTAAATTTTATTCAACATACTTAGTTTATTAATTATAGTATTTTATATTAGCGTTGTTTTATTTTCTTTTTTTTTAAATCACAATTTGCACAACACTGTCGCTTCACCTCTTTCACACGACTCAAAACACGTAAATGTTGCACAAGAAAAAAATGCGAAGACTGGTGTTTCGTGCCTTGCTGTATATAGAGCTTTATTACATGCTGTGGTTTTCAAGTGCCTCACGAAATTTTTTTTGTACCGTATTTTTTGCAATTTTGTAAAGGTGTAATATGTAGATAGCGCAAGTAATTGTATTATATAGGTAATGAATGCATATCGTGATAATGACTATTAAACGTTTAGAGAAAGTCTCAAAATATTCTTTACAAGCTTCATTTTCCCTTTTTGTAGTATGTTGTTTGATTAATGTTGTCCATGTTGATAAAAATTTTAGTATAAGTACCAAATAAATTGTTATAATAAAAGAATTGTAATTAGACATTTCAGATGGCATATTAGTATTTTTAAACAAAAATATAAAGCTTTGTTAAAGTCATTTTTTTTCTTGATTCATATCGCCGCCTATCAATAGACTGTGGGTTTTGGGACAAATTGTATGGACATTCTCAGGTATTCCTGCACTGAAAACAATTGTGAACATCCAAATGGAACACCTTATGGAAATCCCAACCTTGACATCATTTGTATAAATTACACAGATAAAAAGAAACGGAAAATATTAAAGAACGCAACTCTTTGATTACATTGCTTTTCTATGGAATGGTCTAAACACTAAAATTCTACCTAGCAAACATTTGAATAGTTAATTTCTACGTTGAGGTAGCCATTTCTTATAGATCAATAATTTGAAATTGAAACGTCTATATTTTACACTTCCAATATAACCTAAATTCATTTTACAGTGACAAATTAACGCATAAATGACCTCTGAATTTGGTTCCCTTTAAGAAATTTAAATTGAATATGATTTGATTCCCCAAAAAAGTCTAAAAAGGTTTCTTTCGATAAGAATACAAATAGATAAAACAATAATTTTCAACAACTATATGATCTCGCATTGATAGTAATACGTCGAAATTTCTTCTTTTTGTAATAATGGATCGTAAAACTGCAGATTTAAATTTACAAAAATCATACAATTTTACAACGAACTTTTGCTGGGCGATTTTCCTTGATGAGAAATCTGGAGGTTTTACAGGTAATCGATTGACTCAATAGGTACTCCGGGGGTAGTTAACAGCTGACTTTGTGGATGCATTCGCTTAAACCCAGCAATATGAAATAATCTCCAACAGCTCTTAGAAATGGACGTCTTTGATGATTAAAGTTGAATGTAGCTTTCGGTTGTTAAATTCTCTTGTTTAGTACAAATTTGGGTTAGTAAAAGAAACGTGCATCGGCATAAACTCAATGTTGAGGGGTTGTTCTTGAATTAGGAAATCTCTCCAGTAAACCTTTTCACTGATTTACCCTTCACTGTATAGCGGCTCCAAATGAACATGACATTTATTTAAAATTATGAACAGTTTTCTTTATCGCAATTTCGCCTTACACGGAATATTAACTTTCTTTATACGTTATGGCACTGCGTAGAGCGCGGTAAAATGTTTATGGCTAAATAGTTATCAAGTTCTTTCACTTCTACAGTAGAATGCATAAAGATTCCTTGGGCGTAATTTTATATCCCTTTAAATCTGAGTGAACTAGCACTTTTCTTGGCAAAACAACCTCCAAAACCACCCTCGAAATCCTTCTCCTTCAAGGTGTTTCCATCCATATTTAGAAGACTCTACCGTGCATCGTTTCACATTACCGATCCTATACCAAAATATTGCTCCCTCTGTGTTAATACGTTTCTCTCATTGGGGTTGAAGTTAGGTTGTTCATTATAAAATTCTGTTTTTATTTAAATGTTTTACAATGAATTTATAATTTTTTGTTGTATTTTGAAAGTGCTGAAACACAGTTATAGGCGACGCGCCTCGTTTGGATTATGTAGGTATATTTTGTTACTTTTAATTATAATCAGCAGCCATTAAAAAAAACTATATTCTAATTGATTTTCGAGAAAGGAATATTTTAAAATGAAGCAAAAAATGTTTTTGTGGGGCACCGAAGAGCCCCCATCTTCATTATACTAATACTTTAATGGTATGTAACCTGTGAAATTTCACCTGGCCCGTAGATACCTAGTCCGCCCCTGTCGCCCGTTCTTCCACTTTTGTACAGTCCTCCCGTTTGCATGTAATACCTAACATAATTCTGGAATGCCCAAAACTTGCACATTCTTAATCCATTTCTTACGAATGCGAGCTTCGCTTTCCAAACTTCCTATATTAGTCGCAACTCAATAACCTCCTACGCACTCGTGCTCTCGCCCTTCATCTCGACTCGCATCGCCAGCCTTCTTCTTCCCGACCGAAATACATTCGCCAGTAACGCTGTAGAGTTTTTCACTCCTTTCATCCTGATATGCCACAAAAGTGGGAGTCATTCGTCCACTTGTTTCCCGTGTGAGGAGTTCAACTTCTCACCTTTTCGGTAGTCTTCTTCAGACATCCTTCTCAACCTCTCTCCTTCATAGTTACCCTCCGCCACTTGTGTAGTGCAGTGGGAAATTGGTTTTTTATTCCTGTGCACAAACAATCTGACGCGTTTTGAAATACGCTTAGAGATCGTGCGTATTTATTCGAGTGCAATCAAGTTTTAAAAGGAGATAAAAGGCCAAACCTCCGCAAGGTAAGTAGGTATTTAAATTTTATTACAGAGCTAGCTGGGGGTAAAATAAATTTTGATAGGACCATATTCAATTTCATTGAATGCAAGGGGGAACCACTCAATTCAGTTACATAATTTCCACCTCCAACGTTATTAAACTAGTCAACCTCTCCCTCCTATTAACGCTTCTGATTTTCCGAATTAAAAACTCGAAGTCCACTTTTTTCTACCTAGTTGATCACATTTGTACTATTTATACATCTATTGCAATAAGTACTTCGAGACCGAGTACTGCTCGTACCTGTCTCTGTGTCCTTCTTAAATCTACAGACACTATTTTTCAAAAGCCAACTGGGAAATAACGTCTCACACTTCATCAACGAATATATTCCACCAGAACTGGGTCGAGCGTTCTAAAAAACGGCTCGAGCGACGAGCGTTCTAATTTTTTCAAAAATGCGAGCATCGAGTTGTTTTGCAAAGCGAAACCGCTTGCGAGTTCCGAGCACTCGTGAAAGTGATCGAGCGGTTTATCGCGAGTGCTCGTGAGCGGAAAAAAACGCTCGGGAGCTGAAAAAACCGCTCACGAGCGAAAAAAGAGCTTGCGAGCAAATACTAACGAAGAAATTTCACAGAAAATATAACTGCCAAATAAATCCCTTAAAAAAGTAGACAACAGTCAAAGTAAAATTACGTGTTAAGCCACAAAATGCACGTACACTACGTTCTTCTACAAGTAACAAGATCAGATTATGCTCAAGCGCTTAACCAAAGGAAGGGGACATATTTAATTAGAGAAAGCACAGATATACGTAAAAATATATCTGTGGAGCAAGTAAAGAGAAAGATACTTTGCGCGACCTCTAGTGACGAAACAAGAAACTACGAAGTGAGATCTTTACAATCTAGCTGGTATACTTATTGCGTAAAATGGATATAATTTAAATGTTGAGTGCAAAAAGACGTTACAAACTGAGCCGCAAAGGTAATCGTTCCCGGCCAACTGATGTCAGATTCCTTTAGCAGGATTGTCTCAAATGTACTCGCCTTGATCATTTTTTGTAATTATCTACACACATGGTTCTCCACAATCGCCAAACATGAAATTATCTCAACTAGGCAGGCCTGCAGTCATAAAAAATAAGCAAAGGGTACTGTACATGCATCGAAAATACCGGGTGATTCATTAGAAATGATGATCGCTTGAATTTCGCGCGTAAGGTTTTAGTATTTTTTGCATTATTAGATTGACGGTTTGAATTTCGTTAGTAATTTTTTTCTGTCATGACTGTCATTTAAGAAACCAGTGTCGCCGTTAATTGTTGTGTGCTATTTGCGGTTTATTACTTTTTCCATTTTGAACAATTTTTAGAGTTGATGCACTAAAATATGTAACAAACATGACTGTGTCTAGTGTTAGTTTATAATTTGTGGTAAAACAGAAGCAGTATTTGTAGATTATAAATAAGTAAACGATTTCCTGAGAGCATGACGATACACCACTGCAATTAAATAAATGATCATCAGTTAGTACCAACTTCATAATTTTTTTGATTTGCGGGAAATTCAAATTGCCCTCACTTCTAATGAATCACCCGGTATATTGTGTTGTAACCGGCTGGTTACTTTTCAACTCTTCCTACCGTTTCTTCCTCAAGCTACTTTATTTAGGGGCAGTTCTTCTTATATGAAACAATTGTTGTTAGGCTCCGGCACGCAGTCAGTCGATGGTCCTTTTCTGGCCTCGAGGACATGGGAAAGGATAAATGAATAAAAATCAATAATTTGTATATATTAAAACTTATTACGTTCTTATTTTCTTAGAAATTCGCCTTAAATCTGTAAATAACCAGAGGGTATACCTACATCGTATACCGCTGTATACCCTCGACTGCAGCCCTGCAACGAGTAATGCAGAAGCTTGTTGGATTATTTTGAGCCTTTCATTATTAACAACATTCAAAAAATGGTGTAGATCAAACAGTGTATTGCCAGGTAGAGACCGTGAATCAGTTTTCAATTCTGAATTTGTTATCACCCAGTGTGTTTTTAGTGCACTTTTGCACTCCTTATGTCTGTCTGTCTGAGTCACAAATGCTCACCACTTACAGACTAGGTATTTGTGTCATTCGATCAGAAATTAAAAATTAAGGCATGAAATCTGTATAAGGGCTATTAAAATCGAAAAAACAAATTTGAAAGTGCACTCTTCGCCTCTTGCTCAAACGCGGCTTAACGAATTTCTTTAGGTAATTTAGGGAATATGTTTTTATTTCGCCAGTGGCGTAACGTCCTTTCAAAAACTTATTGTAGTAGAGGGGAATTTTAACATGAACCATTACAATTATTGTTGGAACGACACTGTACATACCAGTAGGTACAAGATATAGCATCTTCAAAATCTAGCGGCGAGTAATGACCTTCTTTAAAAAAGTTGCGACACGGTCCTAAACGTAAAGTAATGAATAAATAAATAATCAAGGTGAATTCGTAAACCTCGACGATTCATTTTTAGCAATAAAAGTATTATTCTTCACTCGGAACAAGTGAATTAAAATTCATGAACCCATTGCTCATCCATATCTTCTTGCGACATTCTTTAATGGTACAAAAATAAGGCTGCGTCACTTTCGTTCTTGAAAATGCGGTAAAATTTCCCATTGACTCCCAACAAGGACATCTAGAATAGTTTTAATCATACGTACCAAACGTTGACAAACAACAGATTTATAACATTCGTATATTTTGTGCTTGTACAATTTTGATACAAAAACAACGTACTTATGGTAATATTTGGTAATGGGTAACAATTAAACATTTCTAGTTACCTAATTATACCTGTTCGCGTATACTACACGTTTACTGCACTAGATACTTGATAAGAAGGCCTTGGCAACAGTTTTTAATCGTTAACAATACAACTAATTAACAATATCACAAAACACTTAATAAATAGGGATTAATTGTTGTAAAAGAACCATGTACTAACTGCCATTATTATCACTGAGAGTTCTAATATTTGTTGACTGGCACCGCCGCCGCCGCCACCTTGCTCCAATTTTGGAGTTGCAGTTGTGGTACTGCTAGGGGTAGTGCTTGTGCTTGTCGTTGGGGTTGGGGATGACGAAGACGATGGTTCTGACGTTTCTTCATTTGGCAACGGACTGTACATCGTCGAAGAGTCCTCGTATAGGTAACTCTGTTCACCGATTTCGGCCGACAGTAGCCAAAAGTTGTACTTGTGCGTGTCTAAATCCCCATGGATAAATGATTGGAGAGTATTCGAAAGCACGGTAATACTGCCATTGGTGTCGATGGTAAAAGCATTGGTCCACTGTATGTAGTTGGGATCTCGCGATAGAACTTTCTGCCCGGAACTGAAAGGTTTCGTCGAATTCCACTGAGCGATGCTATTGTCACCCAGAAGGCCGTAATATAGTACGCCTTTATTGGTCATCATCATGCCGTCGGTTTGAGATGCTTTGCGACCAACGTCGTGGACCAAACCTGGATAGTCTTGGCCATTATTTGAGTTTGCTTCGTTTTGCAGTATCGCAGTGCTAATTGAGTAGAGGTGAAGGCTTGACATGGGGCAGTAAAACACCTCCCGGTCGTGGTTTAGGGTGACACCCGACGCGCTGTGGTAAGTTCTGGGACCAAGCGCGATTCCCGCAATGTTAATTGGCGCGTTAACCACGTCATTGTTTACCTTAAAGTTTTGCGCCTTCGGGTCGGCGCGCATTGAGGCCGAGTGGCGGATTTTCCAGGACCTGCCAGCAGAAAGGGAGTAAACTACGATTCCTGGATCATTCGCGCTATTATCTGTAATGTACACGAAGTCATTGTCCACCACTAAATCGTACAGGAAGCTGTCGTTGCGACTGGCTACACTTTCGGGAAAAACGTGCTTAGAGACGGTCGTATTTTTCCGAAGGTCATAAATCACTAATTGAGCGGGGCAGTTCTTCACCGGTGTTTGCATAAGTGAATGCGTATGACCGCCATCTAAAATATACATCGTGCCGCTAGGATCAATTTCCAAATTTTGAACGTTTTGGAGCGCATCACAGTCGTCGAGCTTGTTGAAATCCCACGAAGGGAACGGTTCAATTAAGGGCGACGTTCCAAATCCAGGTAGGGCGGAGATCCGCCCGAGGGTCGCCGGCACGCCGCTCTTCATCCTTGGCATCGTGATGTAAAAATAATCCTTGTAGTAGGTGATACCCGCCATAACCACGTTTTGGGGCACGTAAATTCCACTTTCCAAAGCCGATCTGTACGCCTCATTACTACCCCACGTATAATTAACAAATTTCCACTGTTTAATTACCCGAAATTGCACTTCGGCATTAATTGCGCTGCTTAGCTGCGCGAGTACAAGGAGCGCGAGTTTCCACATTATAGGTAACTAAGCTCGGAAAAATGTATGCACGACTAAACGAGCAATCCACCTTGAAGCGGCTTATATAAGTTTGTGTTTATCGGTAAAGCATGCTAACAACAAATTTCAATACCTCCTTTTGCATAAATTTTGTGACGCGCTTCATTTTTATCAGAGGCGCACATTGCCTCAAAAATTGCAAAAAAATGTTTGCACAAATTCGTATACATTGCGAAAATTTTAAGGTGGAAGACCTCGCCATGTTATTTTTAATTGAAAATTACAATAATCGTGTCCGCCTGTAATTATTTAAATAAATACCTACTATTTGCAAATAAGAGCCGCACCTTGATCCCAAAAATGGAAAAAAATAAACAAATTGCCCACATTTTCGTCCTACCGTAGCATAATTTTAATTTTTGGTAAGTCATTAATCGTACAGGTAACTCGGAGTTACCCGATTACGTCATTTAGGTAACCCTCAAGAAGCACGTATCAATCGTTACATTGTGCTAAAAGAACGACTCGATTCATTACTGAAAACATTGGCAAATTGATGAACTACAAGGCTACAAAGAGGTCAACTCTCAAGAGCAATAACACGATCTCTTTTGGGTAAGTAGGTATGTGATCAATTAATTTCTATTTCCGTTTTTATTTTTTCACGAGGAGGGTGCAATCGTGCTTGATATGCAAGAATCAAGTAGAGCTGACCAGAGGTGTCCAGTTCATTTCAATCCAGTCCAATGGGAGTATCCCTATAGGCGAATGCGACAATCCCGCAAGATACCTCGTCAGGGTGGAGACGGTCCTCTATCACCATCGAGGTCAATTTAACCTAGGGCGGTAGCTCCCAAACGAGGTACAAGAGAATACACAGTGATCTCCTCTGTGTGCTTACTTCCAGCCCATATCTTCCCGAAGAATTGGGTTGCGTTCACAACCTGATCCTTCACAAAGAAATCCACTATAGCCTACCCTATAGACCCCCCATTTCTGAGGTAGGGGTAGCCCCCATAGCATCCATAAATGTAAAATACACTTCACTCGCAATAAAGGAAAATGAATCCATACTGAATCCACGACATTTCTCGACTTCATTAGTCGAACGAAATGGGTCTTTAGTGGTCGCTGCTGCTGTCTGCTGGTGCATGGTATGCATGTTCCTCCAGATCTCAAGTACGGTTCGAAATTATTAAAATCTTACTTTTTCAGTACCTATATAGAGTGTAAATGTTGTCTGGAACAATGAACATATCTTCAACATTTTTGGACATGTTGTGCTACCAATCTACGTACTTGTGGTCGGTGGCGTACTTCTGCATGTTCAAGGGGGGCATATTTTTTAATAGCAACCACTATTTTTATTACCTACATATGTGCAATCCATTTTTGACATGCTACCTCATTTTCTGTTTATAAGAGGAATTTCATTTCGATGCTTTTCTAACTAAGAAAGTTGGAAACGCAAAAAAATTCCTTCCTTGGTGCAAGCCTCGACACCATAACGAATCAAATAGCGAAAAAAGTAGACCAATAGCTCTTAAGATAAAGAACTAGTAGCGTCTCAAAGAAAGAGCGGACGGACGGACGGACGGCCGGACAGCCTTGTATTTCGTTCAATTTTATTACGTGTTAAAAGACTAGATTTTAACATCTGGAAATAAAGGCGTGGTTTTTGTAAAAATTTATCTCCGGTGGTAGATAAGAAGTTTCCTTATCTATCGCTACGTTAAGATAATTAGTTTCAAGATAAGCACGTGTTATTGCCGAAATAAACAGATGGTAATTCTTTCGACGCAGTATTTTGTTAAGGAAGAAGTGAGAAAGGGACATTTTGAAAACGAAGGGGGAGGCGTTAATCGTAACTTTTTGTTGGTGGGAGTTATTGTAGAAGAAAGTTTAGTGGAGTTAAACTCGTGTGTGTTACGTTACACTGGGAAATGTATTTTATAAGTCGAGTTAAGCGGAAGCGTGTTTTACGTTTCCAAAGAAGTTTCCCGATACCCGTTACATGGAGTTTTTGTCCACCATCAAAGGGCCAATACTATAACCATAATTACAACGAAGTTAGCATCGTCTAAATCGCGTTTTATGTGAAGTGAATGAAGTGAAGGATCGAAGTGTTTGTTCGAAGTGCAAATTTGATCGGATAATAAGGATTATTTAATTTAACTTAATTTAAATTTAATTTGTTTAATCGATCGCTTGTGGCGTGGTGTGTTTTATGTTGTCCTGAGTGCCATTTTCTGAAATCCTTACGATAATCCTCTTTTGAGGTTATTATACACAGTGTCCTGATTGTTTGGTCGTCTCTGAAACAGACAAATAATTTTCAATTTAATTTTGAGCTTCTGGGAATCAGCCCTGATTGGTTGGGAATTTGTAACATAATGTTGGTTTCGAACAACCGTTTTTTGGGGACGCGATACACACAAATGAAATGTTATTAAGAATAGGTGCTGTCCAAAATGAAAAACGGAGTAAACGTGATACTATGACGCCTACTATGATTTAATGTTTTTATTTTTTAACTGGAAGTACATCCCAAAAAAATGTTTCCTAAAAAACGTTACAAAATAGAATGTAATGACCGTGTAGCGAATCTGAAGCCGATAGAAATACTTTGTATCGGCTAAACACTTTCTATCGGCTACACGGTCATTAAAAATTTTTTGAAGTAACATTTTTAGGAGTCCCCTCAAAATACCCATTTAAGAAATAAAAACATCAAAAAATCAAAGTAGGCCTGCTCACGTTTACTCAGTTTTTAGTTCTGAACAACTTTTCTTAATTACATTTGTGCGTTATCTCGTCTCCAAAGAGCACTGACTGGTAGAAAACGTTTTTTGAAAATTTCAAAGGCACCCTTGATTCTTCGAAAAAAATCTTGAAAGTTTTCTAAATTTCTCTAAAACTCTGTGGAACTCTTTCTGAAATTTCCCTAACATTTCCTACAATTCTTCTGTAATTCCTTTGAAGTTCCATTTTTTAAATGTCCTTTCTTCTGAAATTTGTCATAAATTTCTTTTAGAGTTGTCCTACCATTCAAATTATCTTAAAATGTTTATGAAAATTTCTCCTCAAATTTTCTTGAAATTATCTTAAAAGTCATCTAAAAGTCTGGCTTTCTGCCTAAAATTTTCGAAAAATTCAATTTTTCAAGAAATTCTTGAAATTTCATGTGGTCACTTCATAAGGTGAACGGACTTAAAGTTTACTTACAATTTTCTTGGAATTGTCTGAACATTTTCTTCAAATTTTGCATAAAAGTATGTTTAATACTATAAATTCTCTTGAACTTCTCCTTTAAATATTCTGAAAATTCTCTGAAATTACTAGTAGCAGTTTCTTGCTAAGAATGGCTTTTAAGGTTCTCCTATATGCTTAAGAAAATCTGTTCTATTGAAATTTCCTTGCACCGAGCCCGTGTGGCGCCGTATAGAGGTCGACTGCGGTACCGAGAGTCCCTGGTTCGAATCCGGGTTCGGGTATGGATATTTGTAAACGTTTAATGGGTTCTCGGTTGGATTGATTTCGACATTATTTAAAAAATTTCTTAAAATCGCGCGACATGCTTCTCAAGAAAGTCGCGAAATTCTCTTGGAATTTTCCAAAATTTCTATTAAATTTCCACTAGTACCTATTCTCCTGAAAACTTCTTGAATGTATTCTCTTTTGTTTTTAGCAATGTTTATTATTTATTAAGCAAATGAAATGGGCCTTTGGCGATCTCTCTGTTGGTCTGCTGGCGTATAGGTATGTCCCTATGTATGTTTATCCAGATCTCAAAAAACGAAATTAACATTTTTTTAAATACTTTTTTTGTTACATATTGAATTGATAAACTTATCCGGGAGACAGTGTCGTATAGGATTTGCTGAATAAGTGGGAAACTAGTCCACGTTGAATTTTATTGGATGGGTAACATTAGTGTAGCGGTGTGAAAGGTTTGCGTCACGTGATTGGTGTCTGCATAAAGGAAGTACAATTTTCTCTATGGTGTATGTCAAAAAAGGTAAGCTATAGTGGGAGGTTGGTAGTTCCGGAGGAACCGTCAAGCAATTCGCGTTGATACATGACTAAAGTTAAGGCAAGCACCTGTAAATTTGTGCAGAGTATTCTTATTATGTGAAAATTCAAATTCGCGTCGAGCGGTCAGCGAAGTAAAATCAACCGCCTAAAATTACCGTAGGGTAGATGTTATTTTTGTGTTACTCGAATGCGCATTGAGCAGTGGTTTTATATAATCTATTGTTGTGAGGTGCCAATAATGAAAAACGTATTATTTTCGACGAAATTTCGTGCCCCTATGGTAGCGAATTGTAAAACAAACGCGTAGAGTTTAAAAGCGCGAATTAAAGTGTTTTTGTTACCCTCATTTACAAGAGCTAATTTTTGACTTAGAAACTATTACGGTAAATACGAACAATAGTGGAAGTTTTAAACGCAAACAATAAAATGGATCTTGATCTTAATTATTCAAGGTGAATGTTCGGGCAAGTGCTTCAGTTCTAATTTTGTTACCCGTTACATTATAAAGGTCACGTGACAAACACAAATGTGAAGAAAGAAGGTGGAATGGAAAACAATGTGAAAAGGCGAGCAAGAAAACGATGGGGGGGGGGGGGGTTGGAATAGCCGATTGAATTGTTTTGAAAATCGACATTTTTTATTTTTATTTCGAACCAGGGAACCTCTCGGTCGAAACCGAGGAAGAGCTCCACTAAGCGAAGCTGGCCAAAAAAGTGGGAATTGAGAGCACTGACTCCGAGTTCGAAATGTACCCTTATTGTACCCTAATTCATTAAACAAACATGCTTAAAACATAGCACAACTATTAGGTACTGCAAAGTTACCTACCGTTTATGTCTAAGTACCTATAATGATAGAAACATATAAAAACCAACAATCCAATAACTGCACAGGAAGCTTGTATGGATAAAGAAAGAATAGCCTAGAAAATCATCCTGCAATAACCCAATTTTCCATTTGCAGAAAATACTGTGGGCTTAGCTACATCTATACATTCTTCTACAGTTCACCAAAGATTCGATTTAAATAATATGAA